CAGACTAGAGAGTATACGACTAAATGTTGTAATATTTCGGATCATACAACTCTACACTGGGTAGTCCAGACTAGAGAGTATACGAATAAATGTTGTACTGGCTCAGATCATACAACTTTTAGAGTCTAGTGAGGGGTTAGATCAAGTGAACGTGGCTGGGGGTAATCTATAAATATAAAGTAGTCATCTCTGTTTGTTTGAATGTCTGATCATAGCTCATAAATCCCTTGACCGATTTGTCTCAAATTTTCTTTAAAATTCTAAAGATAAGTTGGTTGACACTTAGTCCAGTCAAAGCCGAGTTCCCAAGCTCGTAATGAATACAGAATAAAACATCTCTAAAGCGGCCGGGAGAGAGAAAAAGAATTGAGACATATGAACATGTTTGAAAGAAAGTGCGAAGAATAAAAAGAGAAGATTAAAGAAAAAGAAAAATATTATTCTTCATTATTCTGAAACTGGTATTTTCATTAATTAGTACTGTGTTCTCCCAGGACACCGGAGCTTTTAATTAAAAGATACAACTTAGATAAAAGATAAAATTTGAAATTGTTTAAAAAAATAAAGATACAATTTCTAGATCATATTTTACAAATAGGCTTCAATAGAAAATTTTAGTTTTTAAAGAAAGATAAAAGGAATTGAGTCTTTGCCACAAACTTAATTTTACTAATCCCTACATCTTTGTCGTGTAGCCTCATGTTGTAAACCTTTGATATTTCAAACTTAAATTATTTGATCTACAAATTCTTAGTTTGAAATATTCAAGGTGTGCGACATCAGGTTGCAAAAATATTGGATTTAGAAAACTTGAGTTTGTGGTAAAGACTCAATTACTTTTTTTTGGTAAAATATAAAAAGGTTTTGATAAATCTGATCTAAATTTTGAATTAAAAAATTATAAAATTGTTAAATGGTTTGATGTATGTTTAATGCATCTCACCCCCCCCCCTAATCTCTTCTATACATATTAACACATTCACATGTAATTAATTGATAAATTAATTGATACATAAATTGAATAATTAATAAATACATAAACTGAATAATTAATATAAATAGAATAATTAATTTTCTTCTCTCATATTTAGAAAAGCATAGAATGATTGAACACATGTTTACGTTTATATGTGTATTATTCTCTTTCTATCCTCACATAGATCCAGAAAGCTGGGAAAAGTTGCATCATTAGATTGGGTCACCTTCGAAGTGTTGCAAAGACTTGGCCTTTAATATTATCTTCCCAGCACATTTATACTTTTTTGTAGCCCTGAACATGTACATTTTAGGTTTAGATTTTAAGACTTGACTTGACAAATGCTCATCATTGTTTGCTCGAGAGCTTGCAACCTTTAGATCGTTAAGTGTCCTTCCTTTTAAAATAAAAAGGAATTTACAATCCTTAACCCCTCCATTTCACCTCACACCCTCTTTCATTTTTCGAGCCGCTCCCTTTCACCTCACACGGCCCCTTCCATTTTTCGAGCCGCTCCCTTTTACCCCACACCCTCTTTCATTTTTCGACCCGCTCCCTTTCACCTCACACCCCATTTCATTTTTCGAGCCGCTCCCTTTCACCTCACACCCCCTTTCATTTTTCGAGCCGCTCCCTTTCACCTCACACCCCCTTTCATTTTTCGAGCCGCTCCCTTTCACCTCACACCCCCTTTCATTTTTCGAGCCGCTCCCTTTCACCTCACACCCCCTTTCATTTTTCGAGCCGCTCCCTTTCACCTCACACCCCATTTCATTTTTCGAGCCGCTCCCTTTCACCTCACACCCCCTTTCATTTTTCGAGCCGCTCCCTTTCACCTCACACCCCCTTTAATTTTTCGAGCCGCTCCTTTTCACCTCACAACCCCTTTCATTTTTTCGAGCCGCTCCCTTTCACCCCACATCCTCTTTCATTTTTTGAGCCGCTCCCTTTGAAAAAGACAAAAATCAAACATGCCAAATACTTTTAAATTCAGATAAAAATAAAGACATTGATTCATTTCTCTTGCGTTAAGACAAAGGCCAATAACCTAAGATGGGTAGGTGTCATTAGTGTCATCTCTTGAATGAGCCTTTACAGTGTGGAGTTGCCAATTTAAGGCGCGGCAAAATAAAAAAACTCGCGCATCTCCAGCGATAACGTCGTAGTATTATCATATTGAGGTTCAAAACATATTTTGGTATGAAATTAGTAAAGGGGAGGGGGGGGGGGGTACAGGTTGATAACTTTTACAACAAATTCACCGGTTAAATGTTTATGATTTTGGAAAAGGGGGGGGTTTAAATCTCGGATTGCTTAATTTCTAGATTGATCCTATGAACGTCGTTTTTTATTCCTCCTGTTGACGAACGGGGTTAAAATCCATTTTGTGAGTCACCCTGTTTCTAGACAGCTGACTCAGCTTGTTTTGAGTCTGGTGTGGTGAACTGGTGAAACCATGTTCCAAAATAAAGAATAGAGTTGAGGATTTAATTAAAAGTTTATATATTGTCTAATCTTGCAAACAATCACACACAAACTTCTTTCCCAGGTCTTAGGTTAAATAAAAGAATGTAACAGTGATATAAAATTATACACACATTTATAAAATAGTTTTTTTTTCGCGCCCATCTTTATCATAAAGTTATTTAATATTGCTTTAACACTGCCCGACCATTATTGTTCTTACTTTTAAAGAAAATGAATAAAACATGTTTTCAGAGAATTTTTACTTTTTATTTTTTGTGCCAAATAAATCATAAATCATAAGGCTTTTTGTGTGGCCCGGTTTTAAATCTGTCTCCTGCATGTCATGAATTGCCTTGACTTGAAAAGAAACAAATATTTAACAAACCAAATCTTGTTAATTGAATTTTGAATATATTTCATAAAATTAAGAGCAGAGGTAGAAAGCACAGATACTTTCTTTAAACACACATTTTCTAATCCCTATATCTTTGCAACTTAACATCGTGTACCTTAGATATTTCAAACTATGAATTCTGTTAGATCAAATAATTTAAGTTTGAAATATGAAAGATTTGCACCATGAGATTGCAAAGATGTAGGAATTATAATTAAAGCAGTTAACAATTTTTTCAGAATATTAAATTATAATTCTTAAAATTGTAATTTTTAACAACACTAAAGAATATTTATATTTTTTTCATCTTCGTTAATAACGTCTTTAATCTATGCAATATTCAATATTAATATGGTTTAGTTAGCTTTGTTAGTTTACCTTAACATATTAAACATAAATAGACATATGTATACAGTGAGACCCGTAAAACTCTGAAATTATGACAATCTTATGAATGTTTGATGTTGTTACAAAGCAATAGTTTTTCAAGTAGCTTGCAAACCAACTTATTAACTGAAATTGGGCTGTGTACGTATACTACGTACAGTGTACACTGCACAGTGCTTGCTTCATTCGTCTTCCTATTCCATAGGTAGTTTTAAGGATCTCACTGTAATTAAGATTTTCTTTAATTTATTCAGTCTGAGATCAGAGCTTTTGTGTGGAATTGTTTATCTTGAAAACTTAATCTCGATATCCAATGTAGACGCTTACAAATATGAGTTTCACTGTTTGATCCCTCAATTGAAGTTTTCCATTGCATGGAAAAAAATTAATCTGTTGATCTACATCACATCAATAGTTCTGACTTTTGAACAAAATGTCTTGGATTTTATTCAATATTGTCATTATTTATTTATTTTCTTCAATTCATTAAAGTACTATCTTAAATATTTAGTCTCCAATTAATTTATAATCATTCAATGTCGTCTTCAATCTCATTAGTTTTCCGTCTTAGCCTTTCTGGTGGAGCAAGGAAAGGGGAAACGTACATTACTACAATAATGTATCCTTCATCTAAAAATATTTGAATTAGAATTCTTTAATAAAGTATAAAAAATAACCATGCCAAAAAGTTTTAATATGATTTGTAACTAAACGCTATGTCATTTTGCAAAAAATTTTCAAAAATTTTGTTTGCTATGGATTTTAGGTATGAAAACATTAAAATGTAACAAGAATATTTTGTACACATTGAAAACAAAAATCCTCGAAACCAGTTTTTTGAAAAAAAATGTAATTTATGGGAAAATGTTTGCTATATATATTATTCACCAAAATTTAACCATAATTGGAAGAGATATGACCAAAGAGAATAGAACATATATTAGAGGGGAATTTAGAGAATCCGTCGGTATGAATTTGTTCAGTCCCTTTCAGCCTGAAAGGAAGTTCGAAGCAGTGGCGGTAGATTTAAAAAAGTAACATCTTTTTCCTATTAGAGTAAAACTATTATTTTTTATATTACTGCCTTTTTTGTCAATGTTTGCCAAAAAGTTTAGTTAAAATTAAATAAATTCAGTTTTTTTACAGATCTTTGTAGTTAATGTAAAATGAATGACTATAATGAAGGATATAAAACAAGGTGAAAGCTGAAAGGTATGTAATGAAGCCTTTATAAGATTGAGTTAGTAAATCCCAGAAATGAGTGGAAAATGCAAATCAAACCCAATTAAAACCAATAATTTGATATACATCAGGGGGGTAAAAAAAAATTTGGCGCGCTTCGCGCGACAAATTAAAAATATTTACCCCCCCATACAGAATCCTTATGTCCGCCCCTCGTTCGAAGTATACAAATCATGTAAATGTTCACAAATTATATGCAGTAGAGTACATTAATACAGTATGTTCCCTAGAATATCCATTTCAATTTCAAATTTTTAAAAGCTGTTAAGTAAACTTTATAAAATGAATTAGGTGAATAAAAACATCATTTGATTTATGATTATAACGGAAAAGCATCGTTTGTAAAGTGAAAGGCTTAGAGTCTATGTGAAATGATCATTGCATCAATTATGAAACCAGCCTATTTCATAATTTGGTTCTCTTTTAATATTAATTTTAGATTTTCTATAAAATGATGTTCCAGGGCCCAACAAGTTATATAGCGCAAATATGTGAAGTACCCCTGCAGTATGGAAACAGTACAACAAAATGGCCGTTTTACACTTTTTTCTAGTAAATTCCTCTCTAATATATATTCTATTCCTTTGGATATGACAAAAATCCACAAAACAATGTTTTTTTTTATTTTACAAATAATTTTTTAATTGCACACACAATAATTTTTAATTCCACACACTGTTTGTCAATAGCTTATGAATATTTATAAAGATTTGAAAATCAATAGAAGAAAACATGGATCATAATTTGTTATAGAAATTTTTTTTTTTTCAAAAAAAATTTGGTTTCTTGGATCTTTTTTTCATGTTCAAAATTATTTTTGGTCACATTTTAATGTTTTTATGTCTAAAATCCGAAGCAAACAATTTCTTAAAATTTTGTGCAAAACATTCCTAATTCCGGTTTTTATCAACTCTGCACCCTGTACACTGTCCAGTGTCCAAGCAAGATTCTAGATTTTTTCTGTTATATGCAGGCAGGGTTCTAGCGTCCCAGGCAAATATATATTATCCATTCATTTCGACAGCAGTAGTTTTACATACAGAAACATGAAAAGAGAATAATAATAAATATTTTATGGCATTATAGTAAAATTGATGTCTTAGTAAAATATATTTGAGTAAATTTGTTAAGGAATAAACTGCAAAAAGTCTTAAATATCTAATATAGCATATGGAAGAAGACATTCAAAACTATTCACCAACTGTCATGGTTCGTTGGACACCCTGTATATTTAATGGACTAATGTTATGTTATCAACTGTTATGATTTACTGTTAAAGCAGAAAAATATTAAATTTGATAATGATTTGATTTGAATTCGTACAGTTGAGAAATTTCTAAAAGGTAGAAACTATCCTTACCTGGAATAATAATAATCTCCTTGTTGTTGTTAATTCTGAAAATAGATTTCTTTAAATAACCCTCATATTCACAATCACAACCTCTATCTCAGTAACAAAGTAATTCAAACAATTTTTAAAATTTCTTTGCGGCATAATTCCACGAGTCAATTCTATACAGACAACTCAAAAGAGAAAATAATCAATTTTCAGCTAGAGAAACTACGATATATCATTCATCTATCTATCAGGCAAAGGTTAATCTTGAGTCCTTTTAAGCTATGAATTTTAAATATTTTAGCATTAAGTTTTAAACATTGTATTTGTAACACTGCAATATATCTTTGAAAACAGAGTTAGTTTGCAAGAATAAAAATTTTCTGACAAACCGACAATTCTTTAGCAAGGACGGTCTCAGGATTTGATTCAATTCTCTGCATTATCAAATACAGAATGCCATCTAAACTTTCTACTTCAAGTTCTTTTTTAGTTTTCAAATTGTACCTGAGCCTGTAGGAAACAGGTTCTTCTCCTTCCAGTAAAAACCTGGATGATTTGTCAACCTTGTAAAATAAAAAAAAGGAATTGAAATTAAAAACCGATATACACAGTTACAACTAACGCTGTAAACTCCGGTTCATTTCAAGTACCGGACCGCCTTCTGTAGGTATAAAATGCCCCAGTTTTATAAAATAAAAGTATATAGTGTCAAGTTCTAAGGTAGTGAGATTCATGAAAAAAATAAAAAGTGAGATTTGCAAATCCAAAATGAGAATAAAAAATTTTAACTTTTATTTTCAAACTCTGGTATTGGCGGTAGTGAGATTTCAAAATCCAAAATGAGAATATAAAATTTCAACTTNCAAAAACCTCTAGTTTGAAAGTATTTACATTTTCTAATTTCGAAAAAAAGGCATTTAATAATCTGAAAAGTGTAAAGAAAATGTACAAAAACTAGCTTTTAAAACCTTCAATACCATTTTCTTTTTAAAAAAACATAAAATTTTCGCTCAAAAAGAAGGCATTTTATACAAACACGACCGCCTTTGACCAGCTAGAGCAAGCAGTACAGTGTACACACTACACATACAGACTAAATGAATCAGCCAATTCTATAGGAAGAATCTAGAGTCTAGTTCACAGTGATTCAAATCTAAGGTTGCAAACTCCTGCACAAAAAATCAATAAAAATTTTGCCATTTGACTTCTTAAAAACGAATAAAAAGTAAGTGTTTTAAAGTTCTAAAATGTACGTATCAAAAGCTATAAAAAAGTTTAAATGTGATTTAGTAAGGCAAATCCAAAATCCAAGGTGTTGCGACACTTTAAAGTCAATCTAGTCTTTAAAATTGATGGAACTTTCATAGCTGTCTGACTCAAAAATATTGTGAGGGGGGGGGGTTGATGAAAGGGTGTGATTAATAAGCTTGCACTTGAATTTTGTTGTCATTTAACTTTTTGCATAGAATTAATTAAAGAGAAAATACGTTGATTTTGAATTTGAATGTAAGCCAGCCCCTGACCAATTGTCGTCTTCTAAGAATATTGCAGTACCTGGGCCAAAAATCGTGTAACCAGGAAAGCATACTGTGTGGTCAAGCTTCGGGATAATGTGCTCTTAACAGGGACACCTTGTAATAGAGACACATTGATAGGTGCCCCTTAATAGGGACACCTTACAATAGAGACACATTGATAGGTGCCCCTTAATAAGGACACCTTACAATAGAGACAATTAATAGGTCCACTTTAATAAGGAAACCTCAAAAGGGACTCTTTAATAGGGGCATATCAATAGGCACACCTTGATAGGGACACATTGATGGGACACCAATAATTACGGAAACCTTTACAGGGACAAAAAAAGAGAATGAAAAATTGAAAAGAAGAAAACTAAAAGTGAAGAAAAAAAAAGGGGAGGAAATATTTGAGAAATCTGATTTGGATTATTTATTTTCAATGTGAATAAATACTTTTGAGAAACTTATCATTTTCCTTCTTTTAATAAATTAATGGTTATAATTAACAACCTTACACCAGAAAGTAACAATATAGAGACAAATTATGACTAAGTTTCAGAAAAGTTGTTTGCTCTCATTCTCTAGCAGGGGAATTTTATTCAAATTGGATTCCAGAGGTTTAGGGAAAACTGAAGATTTTCATACGTACATGAGCTTTTTACTGGCATATGTATTTTTTAATGCTATTTTCTCATTATAATTTTTTTTGGCTATTTGTGCAAGCAAAAATGTTTATAAATACATATTGGGTTAAACTCAAATCTCAACATATTTATTATGAACAGATTTTCATTTTCTATAACATCATTATTATTATTATTATTGAAAAGTAATTTTTTGTTTTGTTGCAAATAGCTTCTCAATAGCTCGTGAGGGAAAGAAAGCATATTGCAAACACGAATAGTATTTACCAGGTGTTCCGATAAACATGGGAATTGAGAGAAGACTTGAATGTCGTCTTTAATATCCGATAATTTTTAAATGTCGTGAAATGCATAAAACAAAATTTAATGTCTAATTATCTTTCTGAATGAGGTTTACTTTCTTTGAATCTTAAGAATTGGCGGAGACTAAAATCGGGACAAATTTCCATCTCTGTCAATATTGAAGGTGACAAAATGATAGACCACATTTTGGAAATCCCAAAACTACTTGTTTTCGGTGTTAAATGTTTTAACTGTGCATACTACGAAATTTTATTTACAAAATAATCCCGCTTGGAATAAAAACGATATTTAATTCCCATGTTTATTGGGACACACTGTATTTTAAATAATCCATAATCTCTAACACGTTGAAAATCCAGTTTTATAGTCTTGTTTCATTAATTTTTACCTTTCCCGAGTTTTTGGGGTTCAACATTGTTTTCGTTTTAAAACGATCGTTTTTTGGTTCGTTTTTTTTATATTTTCTTTTTTATTAATTCTAGTGGATACATTTTCAGTTTTTAAAAAATATTAAATAACGACGACGAAAAATAAAGTAAAACTTATACAGTAATATATTTAGATGGTTAGGAACATATATCTCAAAAGAAATTTGTCAATAAATCAGTGATAGAATTAATTATTTCGTTTTCATTATACTGATTTTCTTATTTTCTTTTAATGTATTCGCAGATTTCTTCAAATTCTTCAAATGTCGTCTTTTCAATAATAATTCCAGAAAATCTACAGAAAATCTTTATGAATAATGAGAAATAGAAACTAATAATTGAACAAGACTACTTATTTTCGATGATAAGATTAATTTTTATTTTCTGAACCTGTTCTTAAACAACTAATTAGTTTACATGTAGAATTTTTTTACATTTTATATCGTCTTTATTTAATAATTTGAAAAACATAATTCTGAAAACGTATCCATCCCCAAAGTAGGAGTTTTGAACGTCGAATTTGCGCTCAAACTCAGGAATTACAGATCTTCAAAAAGTTTTATATTTCTCAAATGAATCCAAAAGAAGCTTTCTACAACACTGCATACTCAATTCAACTAACTTACATAGCCGGTCACTCCCTTTAAAACGATCGTTTTTTGGTTCGTTTTTTCTTATATTTTCGTTTTTTGAAATTCTGGTATAACAGTACTTAAAATTCTTGTTTTTTTAAAGACCAAAAACAGCTGAAAAACGACCAATAAACGAACCAAGGGCTATAATCCCATCACTATATAATAATATAATATAACGTGATTTACCTTCAGGATTTAGATGAATATATCCTCCAATCCCTATAGAAAAGCAAGAACAAAATGAATTTTAACAACATTAAACATTTAAAATTACAATTTTTAAATTAAGATTTTGCTAAAATTCTGTTTTCGACGGTTTTTTACATTTAAGTTCCGTATAAGTCACTGTTCAAAATTATATGATTGCTCTTCCTTCGTGTCTTTGTATTTTTAGTAAACATTCATCAGCCAGGGTGCCCTGAAATTTCATTTTATGTATACAGTACAACTTATTCATTCTTTGACAAGGTGTTCTGTAATTTTACTTTATGCTAAATTTAATCTGGAACAGGTTTTCCTGAAAAAACTTTTAATCATTATTTATTATTTAATACCAGGGTTACTTTTAATATTATTTTTTACGCTTTTATTAATATTGGTCACAATGGTCAGCTATAGCTGACCAAACGGCTGGACCAAATTGGCTGACATTTTTAAAGGGAACCATTCGCTACCCTAGGGCCGGGGGTGACATATGGGCGAAAAAAGTGGTTTAAAAATTCCTGCACGAGCAACTATAAAAGGAATACAACCTCAGTTATTCAGTTCCTGTAGCTTATACCTGAACAAGTGCTGATCCTCCTTGTTCCTAAGGTTGAAGGAGGGGGGGCTGAAGTTTTCCTTCTAATTTGATCCGTAGAAAGTTTGACAATTTTGCACACTTATCTGCATACTTAGACACTTATTTCTGCAGGTTTTCAATCATAATATTTAAACTTTTTATTTTAGTTAAGGAAGTTAAGTTTTACTAATCTTTCATTCTATATACATTTCATCTTTTATGTAAACATCCGGTGGAAGAGATTTAGATTTTTTAACATTAGTATATGATTTAATGATCAGAATTGAAAGAGAAAAATAAGGTTGAAAATTTTTTATAAATAATTCCCAACACCTATTCCACGTTTGTTTATGATTAGGCCTTGAGCTGGATCGTTTCTTGAGTCTTCCACCCTGACTTGTTCATTCCTTTCAAAATCGCCCACGTTCAAAAAATAGTTTTTTTTTAAAGATAGCGATTGTCTATTAAATTTCCCCTTCAAGTTGAAAACAGTTTGCCTGCTAACTTAATGGTATGATAATAAACCATAGTTAATCGCAGGCCTGAAGCTATGAATTTAAAAGGGGGGGGGGGCACAAAATTTAAAAAGTGCATTTGTGCATGTAGTATTTTTTACCTTAAAACCTAAAAAAAGGTTTAATTGTCAACCAAGTCTAAAAACTGATTTTAACACACACTATATGTGTTCTTTTACAAGTTTTTGAGAGTATGTATTTTGTATTTGCATAATAACAAAACATTACCTCTCAAAATTTCCTTTATAACCGAAGAAATAACAATGTCTTACTACGCGTACATATTATAAAAATCATATAATTCTGTTCACTTTATTTAGGACAAAGAAAATAGCATCAACAACAAATGCAAATTGGCCTATAAAAACTCAAGATAAAGCATGCAAATATAAGTTAAAAAAGATTAATTTAATTTAAATTTGTCTCCATACTATTACTTTTATCTCTTATAAGATACGGGTGTCCCACGAAACATGACAGTTTGTAAATAGTTTTAAATGCACTTTTTCCATAATTTACTAAGTTGTTTGATAGCAAAGAAAGTAATAAAAAATATTTCATGGCAATCAAATTATAGTAAAATTAATTTCAAAGTAAAATATATTTGAGTAAAATTTTTTTAAACGAAATAAACTGAAAAAATTTTCTCTAATATCCAATACAGTATATGGAAGAAGACAATCAAAACTATTCATCAACAGTCATGTTTCGTAATCGTGGGACACCCTATATAATTAATAATAAAAATCATTAACAATTATTAAAAGAAGGTTATAATAAGATGAATGTCTATGTTCTCAAAATGTTAAAAATGAGTTTTAACCTAAATACATTTTCAGGCGTGCAACTAGACATTTTGTTATGGGGGGGGGAGATGTAAATATAAATCGCGACGCGTGAAAATTTTTTTGGCCCCCCCCTAAACATTTTTGGGGGGGGGGGGCAAGAAAAATGTGTATTATACTCAAACAATAAAAAACTAGCCTTACCAACCGGATATTCAGTGTATAACCCCATCTGATATGAAATAAAAAAAGAAATCTTTTAAAAAACTATTTATTTTAGTTACAGGAAAATGCCTTAAAAGAAGGGGTGAGGGGGGGGGCGAGGGTGTATTCTTGCTGTCCCATTTAAATACCTCATAATTTACGGTTGCAAAATTTATTCAATGAAAGATATTGTTTATATAAACGGGTGCTTCATTCATCTATGAAGGAGTAGAAATTATAATTTTGCAGATTTAACCTCATTCAGATTTTAGGACAAAGACAATTGATGCTATCCCATTTGAACTACTCCCGTTTTAACTATTGTTCATTTGAACTATTGTTCGTTGAACGTGGTGCCATGTGTGTTGAAATGAACAATTATAGTTCAAACGAGTTTATTTAATGCTCATTTGAACTATATCAGTTCATTTGAATTATTGTCTAATATTTAAACTATTAACATTTTATGAAATAAAGAAAAAAATAGTTCGACAAATGAACATAAAAATAGTTCAAATGGACATAAAAATTTAGTTGAAATGAACAAAACAATAGTTCAAATGAACATAAAAATAGTTCAAATGGGCAAAAAAATAGTTCAAATGGACAAAAAATAGTTGAAATGAACAAAAAAAAATAGTTGAAATGAACAAAAAAATAGTTCATAATGAACATAAAAATAGTTCAAATGAACAAAAAAATAGTTCAAATGGACAAAAAAATAGTTCAAATGGGCATAAAAATAGTTCAAATGGACATAGAAATAGTTCAAATGAACATAAAAATAGTTCATTAATGGACATAAAAATAGTTCAAATGGACATAGAAATAGTTCAAATGGACAAAAAAATAGTTCAAAATGGACATAAAAATAGTTGAAATGAACATAAAAATAGTTTATTACAAGCAGTAATTTACTGTATCATTTTAAGTAGTTCATGTTTTCAGCCCCCTCCCAGCTCATCCCCACAAAAGAAAAAAATTAGCTTAAACTTTAATTTATTATAAATTGCTATTCCTATAATTTTGATCAAGCTATTCTGAATTTTTCATTAGACCATTGTTATTGATCCCTTCTTTTAATTAGCTTGTTTTTGAAGCATTCCTCTGATTGAACTATAAGCTAAATAAACTAACGTTCAATTATCATATTTTTTTATTTTACGATCAGACCTCTTAATTTTGCTGAGGGTCAGGATTCATGAATCGCTAAATTGCAAAACAGGGTGGACTTCTTGCCCATCCCCCCCCCCCCTACAGGGGGGGAACGCCTTCTTAGGGAGTGGTATATGCCCCCCCTCAATCAGCCCCCCCTTTGTTGCGCGCCTGTACATTTTCACACACAAATATAAACTATTAATCAGACAAATTTTTAAATGTGAAGAAAAGGGACCAACTCTCTAGGTGTGACACATGAAGCACATGCTATTGTCAAGCAAAATAAACTAAACCTTTTTCTCCCCTTTTCACTTTTCGTTTCCTTTAAGTTCTTACTTCTAATCTTTTTTTCTCAGATAATGTTCCCCCCTCTTCCGGGAAAAAAGAGGGGCACGTGTATCCCTACGTACCGCCCGACCGCACCCCCTCCCTTCCTATAGCTGCGCCTCTGTCCCCCTGCCTCCCCCTTATTACCTCTCATAAACCTTTTTGTTATACCGATACGTTATAATGTCGTCTTTCTTATTTCATTTTTTTTTTCTTTTTCCATGTTTAACTTCGCGACCTTTGCCGCTGTTGCTAGTTGTGGTTTGCAGACGGACTGATCGGAGCTCGGAACTTAAGATTTAGAATGGTGAATATCGATATCAAAGCTTGATCCTCTCTTTTACAATTTTGCACACTTATCTGCATACTTAGACACTCCTCCCCCTCCTATCAATTTTATACATGACCACTTATTTTTAATTTTTTCAGAAAAAAATGTTATTGTTTAATTTTTTATTATTTTAGGTTGGGTTTGGTTAAGACAATTTCTGGGCCGAGCGCTGAGGCTAGGACAGGCTGAGGGGCCGAGCACTGCATGCTAGGACAGGCTAATGGGCCAATCGCCGCGACTAGGACAGGCTAGGGGGCCGGGGACTCATGGCCACATGACCAATGATATCCATGTGTTACATGAGATCCATGTACAAAATTGATAGGAGGGGGGAGGGGGGTCCAAAAATCATATATATGGAAATTACCAATGGAGGGACTCTCTAATTTTCCAAAACCGATTTTTATCTTTCTGTACTATATCCAAAAAAGAGTGGATTAAGCAAGAAATTAATAAGTGTCCACATTGGATATTAGGATTAAGCATTCGGGAATAAAAGGTATTCCTTTCTAAAGTTCCCAGCTCTGAAGCCTGAACCCTAGGGCCTAGGCTATTATAGTTGCAGTTGATCTGCAGTATAGAAACTGAAATCTATAGAGTTAAAGTAAACTGTAAAGCATGCAAATGATTAATTAGCATTCTGGCTCTGCAGCGCTAGAAACACAATTCAAGTTAGATACTAGATTATATTTATTTATTTATTATATATAGGTCAAGATATTTTATCGTTATACTATTAATAATTGGCCGAATATTTACCTGTTGGCCGAATTCTGATTGCACATACAGGCCAAAGCCTTTCCTTAAGTAGCTTTTGCCAGCAGATTGATGTTTTTCTCTAAAAATCGCTATTTCATAGTGGAACTTCAAAAGTGGGTTTAAAATGGAGTTGTAAACGGTTATATTTTTATCGCATAATTATTACTTTAAGACTTAACTAATGTGTCCTAATTGACATTGATCGCAGCCCCCCCCCCCCCCTCCCTCTCTTAACCAGACCTATTGCCATTGGGGCTAGCTATAAGCCTGTCATAGCTGAAATAACACCTAATAATTGAAACCTTGTTAAGTTATCAAGACTATGTCTGACGTTATTGTGATACATGTGGGTTACTTCCTATTGTACGCTTTTTGGACCCCTCTCCCATTAAGTTTGTACATGGAGCTCATATGTTACACATGCTAAAAGTTGGACATTAGTCTAGCCCTGAAATATTACAAAATAAATGTTGCTAATTTTGTTGAAATGTTCATGTACTAAATTGATTTGGGGGGGGGGGGAAGTTCAAAAAGCGTTCTTTAGGAGAAACCTTAAATGTGATTATTTTTCTTCCTTATATATAGGAACTATAAAGACATACAAACGATGAGCCAATATGTTAAAGTAGTAAATAAAATGTTTGTTTTTAATCTTTGTGAAGAAACAATCTCAAGAACTGACGAGGGTCAACCCAGACCGAAATATATTTTCAATAAATGTGGAACTAACATCTACTTTTTTACTCTACAGGGTTTGGTCCATCACCATCACCGAATTTTAAAAGTTTCTTATTTCAGGTCAAAAATGGAAGAGAAATTGGAAAACGAACTGAATCTTGATGATGACGATTTTGAGATGAAGGATGAAATATTTTACGTCAAAGATGAAATTCACCAAGATAATATTTTTGATTTACAATCAGAAAAATATGTTCTATTAAAGAAGGAAATCATCCCAGGCAAGTTGTATTACAGGGGTTTATGATAAGTATGTTAGTGTGGACTGCAATTTTTTTAGGATTTGGTTGACAAGTATGGTAAAGGGTTTAAATAACTTGCCTTGTGATGTCCTATTTTTAAGGTTTTTCCCATTGCATCGAAAATCATTCCGTTCTCCCGCCATGAGGGGGGGGGGGGGATTCATGGAAAAATGGAAACCCAAATCAAAACACCAACTGTAGTTCAATGCCTTAATACAAAAGTTTTCTACAACTTTAATGAAAATGTGAGTTAAAAATTATCTATCTCTGTTAAATTCATATGAAATAGATTAAAGAATTAAATATTTAGGGAAACCGGGTCATGTTCTAATAGAAGCCGTGAAATTGGGAATAAACAGAACCAAGGAGAACAATTTAATTCCTAGTAAATACGAAGAAGTGACAAATTCTCGCGATAAGCGTGATATGACATGTACCAATCTCACAAATTTCAAACGACACAAGAAGAGCAAACAAGATAATGTTAGATATCATTGTGATCAATGCGGACGTTCTTATGGTGAACTTAAAGATCTGAAGATGCACATTGAAAGTAAACATGAAGATTTGAAATACTACTGCGACCAATGTGAATTTGTTGCAACTTCGAGACGTGGACTGAAGCATCACAGTGATAATGAACATGAAGGTATAACGTATCCATGTGATCATGTGTCAAAGTCTCCTACTGGACTTAAGTCGCACAATGACAGTAAACATGTAGGAGTGAGATATCCCTGTGATAAATGTGATAAAACATTTACCAAGCTAGATAATGTGAAAAGACACATAAAGAGCAAACATTACAAAGTGAGATATTATTGTGATCAATGCGAACATTCTTTCAGTGATTATTCGAGCCTAAAGAAACACATTGATAGTGAACACAAAGGTATTAAACATTTCTGCGACAAATGTGAGTTTGTTGCCAATGATAAAGGTGGGCTAAAGCGCCATGATAAGATTTTACATGAAGGGTTAAGGTATCCCTGTACTACATGTGATTATGTGTCAATTTCTGTTGGTGGATTAAAGAATCATATTGACAGTAAGCATGAAGGAGTGAGATATTATTGTGATAAATGCGAATATTTTGCTGCTGCTCCACGTTATTTGAAAACACATATTGAAAGCAAACATAAAGGTGTGTTTTACCCGTGTGACAGTTGTGAGTATACTGCTTCGGCAAAAAGCACTTTAAAGACTCACATTAAGAATAAGCACTTAAAGGTGAGATATCCGTGTGATAAATGTGAATTTGCTGCAACAACTGCAAGCAATCTAAAAGTACACATACAGACTATTCACGAAGGATTAAGATATTTATGTGATCAATGTGAACATACTGCTACCTCAAAGAGTGATCTGAAGAGACACACAAGAAGTAAACATAAAGTATAAATATTATTTTGTAAAGATGAATCAGGATTCTAGCTGTTTTCCTGAAGAAGGATCGAGGAAACTAGAAGTTACTATAAAGATAAAATAATATTTACCAACTATAAACTTAAACAAATTCCAATTTGGATTTTGTTTTATAGTTTATTTTTATTGTTTTAGATTTGTTTTTTTATTATTGAGTGTTGCAATCTTTTATGTTATTTCAGAGATAATGGTTATATGGTTGGATACTTCTTCATGGCTTTATAATTGAAAGAACAACTAGACAGTTCTTATTTTTAGTAGTTGAATTGTAGTGTAGATGCTACATGTATTTTTTATATATTATTTTTATGATGCAAATATTTTGTTTTATCAGTCTGGAACTAGATTTAATGGAGTTGAACTACGCAGATTAAATAAAACCGTTTCTCTACAGTCTGACCCGGCGCATAAGTAAACTGGTGAAACCGGCGGTACGTGGTTCAACTACTTCTCGCTATTTATTAAATCTAATCCCTGGTCCCAAAATAGGATCCTCTGCTGAAATAAAATAGAAATCCAAATTGTTACTGTAATAGAAAGGATTTTAATACTTTTAAATAAACAATTACGCCTAATAATTACACCTAACGAGCAGCTAATAGGATATTAAATGAATTAAGTAGATAAGCCCTTAGCTTAGCTAATCATTAATATTAACCTCGCAAGTTATGAAGTAATTAATATCAATTAGTATCAACAAATCAGAGGGATTTAGAGTTTTAAATTTTATTTTTACTATTTCAGAGAAATTAGAGTGGAAAATGGACGATGAAGAAAATTTAGAAGATTATTTTGAGTTGGAGGAAGAAATAGTTTACGTAGAAGAAGAAGTTCTAAAAGATAGAGTTTCTGATTTGCTTTCCGAAAATAATGCGCAAAAGAAAGCAAACATTCTAGGTCAGTTCAAGATATTTACATTGACTACTTAACTTTTTATGCAATCTTGGAATAAAAATCAATTTCTTATTATTATGTATTATGCTAGGGTGAAGGTGTCGGGGGGGGGGGGGGTTGATTCTTATATTGCCCCTGAAATACATTTTTTTATTTTGACTATTACAGTTACAGATAAGAGAAATGAGGAATTACATCTTGAAGATTTTGAGTTGAAGGAGGAAATAGTTCATATTAAGGAAGATATTCTACCAGAGAATAATTCTAATGCAAGAAAGAAAAGAAAAATATCAGGTTAGTTAATTTTTTTATATTTCACCCCTCCTCCTACAGTCGTGACATGAAAAGTAGTTTTTATTACAGGGGAAGAAAGTTCCAAACAGTGATTTGGCCAAGACTTGACACTGAGTGTCAGGTTTGGATCAAATATGCAAAGTTATCTTTTTTAGCTGTTTACGTTTTTAAATTTAAGTCGAGAAGTAAAAAACCGTCTGCATATTTTAATTTAAAATAGGCTTCATTTTTATCACTAAATTTTAAATATTTATTACTTAACCCCTACAAAAAAAATTTTTCTTTCAATTTTTGATGATAATTGATTTCATTTTAAAGCATGTTACATTTTTTAATCAAATGCAAAGCTTGGGGTCTAGGGTTTCTAGCAAAATGTTGCATTTTTGTTTTGAAATTTCGCGAGAAAAGCGAACATATCTAAATTTTTCGCGAAATTGTTGCTTTTTTTAATAAAAGTTTTCGCTTCCTTTTCCCAAATTCACTTTCGCGAAAAAGTTTGCGAAATAAGAAAGAAAATTTTCGCTTTTTTTCGCGAAAGTTTTCATTCGCTGGAAACCTTAGTCTAGGGGCAAAACACGTTTTAGAACATGTTGCGATTTGAGACATTTGACAGATTTGAATCAATGATACTTTTCAGGCATTTGCACAATTTGGAAACTAAACCATACACATACGAAAGAAATTAAATAATGAAACAATAAAAATGTAAATAATATATTTTATTCTGATATTTCAAAATATAACAAATTGTAAAATTTAAAAATTATAATATTAATAATAATTATTTTTAGTTAATTATGCTTTTCTGTAAATTATGAAAGTGCGCTTTGCTCTGAATTGTTGAATATTTTCAAATTATGAATTATGGATATCAAAAGTTAAATTGTTTCGAAAATGGTTTGGGTTTTTATTAAAAATGAACAATCACTCCCAGTTTTAATTTTAGAAAAGAAGAAAATAGTGTTATTCCTAGTTTTCGTCGTGATCAATAATATATATCATATTTTATTGTTCTTAGCAATGAAATTGGACATAAAATGCAGGAAATTTTTTATTTAAAATTGAGGAAACTTGAAATCATCTGAACTTTCCATATTTAAAAGTATAATGTTTTAGAATAAATTAGAAAATAACATTATTTTCAGTGATATGTGCTTTTCTTAAAATCATGAAAATGCGTTTTATTCTGAATTGTCGAATATTTTAAAATTTTGGTTTAAAAGTTAAATTGTTTCGAAAATGGTGTGGATTTTTATTGAAAATGAACAATCACTCACAGTTTTAATTTTTGAAAATAAGAAAATAGTGTTATTTCTGGTTATCGTGCTCAATAATAAAATTGTTTTAATTGATATTTGCTCTCGGCACAGAAAGAGTTACTAAAACGTTAATCACAATATGTATGCCCAAACCTGACACTCGGATCATATTTAAATATTTAGATGAATCGAAACATGGCTTGATGGAAACCCAGAAATTAAAAACCGAAAGAACAAAGAAGAACAATGATGAGAAAGAACGGAAATATTCCTGTAATCAATGTGAATATTCTGTAATTGATTATTCGACTCTCAAAAGACACATTGCCCGTAAACATAGATGGTTGAAATACCACTGTGATCAATGTGAATTTGTTACTGCTTCAAGAAATTCACTAAAGCGTCACAATGAGAATAAACATGAAGGTATAAGATATCCCTGCAATGAATGTGATTACGTCTTAACTTCTGCTAGTGGACTAAAGACTCATATTGACAGTAAACATGTAGGAGTGAGATATCCATGTGATAAATGTGATAAAGAATATACCGCACTGGTATGTTTGAGGAGACACGTGAGAAGCGCGCATGATAAAGTGAGGTACGATTGTGATAAGTGCAAACATTCTGCAAATGATTATTCGAATCTCAAAGTACATATTGCAAGTAAACATGAAGGGTTGAAATACCCCTGCGGCAAATGTGAATTTGCTGCCATTTCAAGAAATGGTCTAAAGCATCACAATGAGAGTAAACATGAAGGTATAAGATATCCCTGCACTGAATGTGATTACATCTCAACTTCTGCTAGTGGACTAAAGACTCATATTGACAGTAAACATGTAGGAGTGAGATATCCGTGTGATAAATGTGATAAAGCATATACCGCACTGGTATGTTTAAGGAGACACGTGAGAAGCGTACATGATAAAGTGAGGTACGATTGTGATCAGTGCAAATATTCTGCAAATGATTATGGGAATCTCAAAAAGCACATTGCTAGTAAACATGAAGGGTTGAAATACCACTGTGATAAATGTGAATTTGCTGCCATTTCAAGAAATGGTCTGAAGCATCACAATGAGAGTAAACATGAAGGTGTAAGATACTCCTGTACTGAATGTGATTACATCTCAACTTCTGTTAGTGGACTAAAGACTCATATTGACAGTAAGCATGTAGGAGTGAGATATCCTTGTGATAAATGTGATAAAGTATATACCGCACTGGTATGTTTGAGGAGACACATGAGAAGCGCGCATGATAATGTGAGTTACGATTGTGATCAGTGCAAATATTCTGCAAATGAATATGGGAATCTCAAAAAACACATTGCTAGTAAACATGAAGGGTTGAAATACCACTGTGATAAATGTGAATTTGCTACCATTTCAAGAAATGGTCTAAAGCATCATAATGAGAGTAAACATGAAGGTGTAAGATACTCCTGTACTGAATGTGATTTCGTCTCAACTTCTGATGGTGGAATAAAGCATCACAATAAGGGTAAACATGAAGGTATAAGATATCCCTGTACTAAATGTGATTACGTAACTACTTCTGCTGGTGGACTAAAGACTCATATTGATAGCAAGCATGTAGGATTAAGATATCCTTGTGATAAATGTGATAACGCATATACCACACTGGCAAGTTTGAGGAGACCCGTGAGAAGCGCGCATAATAAAGTGAGGTATGATTGTGATCAATTCAAACATTCAGCAAATGATTATTCGAATCTCAAAGTACATATTGCAAGGAAACATATAGGGTTGAAATACCACTGTGACAAATGTGAATTTGGTGCCATTTCAAGAAATGGACTTAAATATCACTATGAGAGCATTCATGAAGGTATAAAGCATCCCTGTACTGAATGTGATTACATCTCAATTTCTGCTAGTGGACTAAAGACTCATATTGATAGTGAACATGTTGGAGTGAGATATCCATGTGATAAATGTGATAAAGCATATACCGCACTGGTAAGTTTGAAGAGACACGTGAGAAGCGCGCATGATAAAGTGAGGTACGATTGTGATCAGTGCAAATATTCTGCAAATGATTATGGGAATCTTAAAAAACACATTGCTAGTAAACATACAGGTTTGAAATATTACTGCGGTCAATGTGAATTTTTTGCAACTTCTAAAATTGGACTAAAGCGTCATATTGAGACTAAACATGAAGGTATCAGATATCCCTGTACTGAATGTATTTTTGCTTCAACTTCTGCTGGTGGGCTGAAGGTTCATATTGACAGTAAACATGGAGGAGGAAGATTTAATTGTAACAAGTGCGAATATTCGGGCGTTCTTTTACGTTATTTACAAAGACACATTCAGAGTAAGCATAGTGACATAAGTTACCCGTGTGACAGTTGTGAGTATACCGCATCAACTAAAAGCATGTTAAAAGCTCATATAAACAGTCGGCATTTAAAAGTTAGATATCCTTGTGATAAATGTGAATTTGCCGCAACCAAAGTACACGGTCTAAAAGTACACATAAAGACAATTCACGAAGGATTTAGACATCTTTGTGATAAATGTGAGCATACTGCTACCTCATTAAGCGATCTAAAGAGACACACAAGAAGTAAGCACAAGAGCTAAGCTTGGATGCAACTGAGCAATTGGGACATAAACATTTGTTTTGTATTAAAAAGCAAAAAAAAGTTCTAGTTAATCTGATTAGGTTACGTAATAGTGTACACCTACCTCAAAGCATAAATAAAAATTGTGTTTCAATATTTGTATTTTAGCCTTGTTCTTGTATTCAAACTTTCTCTCAGATTAATGATAACGCTGTAAATATTTTTATTTTTTTAGAAAAAAATGTTTCAAATATTAATGACAGGACACCTCATTAAGTTTGTTAAAATGAATGGGAAACATCATGAGCAAGATCCGCCATTCTGTGGATAAGAAGATACGCATGAAATATATAAAGTAGTAATCACTGGTTGCTCATTTGTTTGAATGACCGATCATAACTCATTAACTCCTTAATGAATTTGCCCTAAATTTTGAATAATGACATTTAGTAGAACCACGGGCATGTTCTTAACAATTTAAAGTTGAGTGGGATGACTTCAGTGGACAAGTTTTTGGGCAAATTGGGTTCCCTAGCTTTTATAATAAACATGTCATAACATTTAAAATGAACATTTTCTAGAAAAAGATATTTTGTTAAAGAAACATGAGAAGTGTTAATGATAAAGTGTTCAAAAATTGGATTTAAGTATCATAATGAGAGTAAAAATGAAGGTGTACGATATCCCTGTACTGAATGTGATTACGCCTCAACTTCTGCTGGCGGACTAAAAACTCATATTGACCTTAAACATGTAGGTTTGATATATCCTTTTGATAAATGTGCTAAGGCATATACCGCACTGTTAAGTTTGAGGAGACACGTGAGAAGCGTACATGATAAAGTGCATACATTCAGCAAATGATTATTAGAATGTCTAAAGACCCATTGCTAGTGAACATATAGGATTGAAATATTACTGTAATCAATGTGAATTTGTTTGAAGTTCATCATATTGAGAATAAACATGAAGGTATAAGGTATCCCTGTTCAGAATGTGATTTTGTCTCAACTTCTGCTGGTGGACTAAAGATTCATATTGACAGTAATCAAGGATTGAGATATAATTATGACAAATGTGAATACTCTGTGGCTATTTTAAGGTATTTCCAAAACACATTGAGGGTAAGCACAGAGACATGAGTTACATGTGTGAGTTGTGACTGTACCCCATTGGCAAAAAACACTTCGAAAGCTCATATAAAGAGTAAGCATGTAAAAGTTAGGAATCCTTGTGATAAATGTGAATTTTCTGCAACCAGAGCACACGATCTAAAAGAACACATAAGGACTATTCACGAAATATTTAGACATTTGTGTGATAAATGTGAACAAAGATTTGAGTTTGAATACAATTGTTGACGCAAACAAATTTCCTATTTTTTTACATGTGCTGTGTTCATAATTGGAAAAGGACTAAATGAATCTAATTATGTTGCTATTTTATAAAAAGTAGTATCCATCCTCTAAGCATCGAATTATTTAGCGTTACAATTTTTATTTCATTTAGTTAGTTTTTCTTATTGTTATTTTATTTATTTTTTATTCATTTGTATTTATTTTTTCTTTTCTTTTATCTTTAAGATTGTTCACATTTAAAGGGGAAACTGACCATAATTCATCGTCCTTGTTATCGAGTTGAAGATGCGTCATAATATTGTACCCTCGGCAATTTGAAAGAATCTTGTTTGCAGTGCACACTTCAGGCAGACGCTGAACTCCAACCTTCGAGTTTGCGAGGTGGGGAAGACTTCACTTAGTAAAAAGCATGATTAAAGAGGGATGACATTTGTAGATCGAGTTTGAATCCTAGCTGTAGCGCTCGGCCCAGAAAGTGTCATAACTTAACCTAACCCGTGGCCGCAGCGCTTGGCCCCCTAGCCTGCAGTCGGCCCCCTAGCGTGTCCTAGCCGCAGCGCTCGCCCCAGAAGGTGTCTTAACATAACCTAACCATAAATAAATACTAATTTAATTGAAAATTATTTAAAAAGGGGTCATGTACAAAAATAAAATCTGCAGTGAAGCCTTCCCCCCCTCACACACTCGAAGGTTGGAGTTCAGCGTCTACCCACACTCACTCCCCGATCTAGTTATCCTAACCTAACTAGGAAAATTTTGTGAACTGCATCTACACTTACAGGACGCCCCATAAATTCGGACAATTTTTTAACAGTTATAACTCAGTCAGTTTTTATAATTTTTAAAATCTGTCAAAAGATTCGATATGAAGGTTTTGTATTAACAATTCCGCGGAATGTTATGCAGAATACAATCAAATTCAGTTCTCCCAGAAGGTCGTTTGTTCTTGACTCACTTTCATTTTTTATCTAACCCTTGGTCTGGATTTTTTCAATCACCCTCTTTAAAGATTTTTTTGATAGAGATTCTTCCTGTTTGTGATTTGCTGGTAGACTATTGAAATCTTGTAAGCTGGGTTAAACTTGTATCTGGTGAATAGTTTTAAATAATCCAAATCTGAGCTCCTTGAAAAATACCATTTTGTGGAAATGGCATGTATGGTAAAACTGAGCTTTTTCTGCTGTATATTTTGCAGATTTCTTATTTATTATCTTATTATGTAACCTGCTATAAAATGTGTAGAGAAAAATGTTATATTCTTCTATCATGTCACATGAAAAAAATAAACTCCATAAACCAACATGAAATTATCATTTTTTTCAGAAATAATGAATCCACTATTAAGATGTTTATGGCTGATATCAGCAACACTGAACAAGGTAACCATCGAAATTGAATAAACGGTTAAAAAAAAACGGGCAAGAAAATATCCAAAATAGTGTTCGCCATTGAAAAAAACAGCTAAAAACCTGATTATTGGTTCAGATAAAATTGTAATTTCATCGGGACTGGGAAAAATTTAAAGCTGATATTGTTAAAAAGCTTGAGGAAATAAACATGAATAGGACTGTCCAAAGAATAATTCAAAACAGCAATAGTGAAATGGTAAATGGATTACTACACGGCAATTTTTCAAGAATCATGATACCAACGAATAATACCCTTAACCAAAAAGTATATGACATGATGAATTACATGGCTAAAACAGAACTAGATCTTATTCTAGAAAATTTGAAAGGCGAGATTTTTTTTATTTAATTTAATTTAATTTAATTTATGTAAATGTTATTAAAAACCTAAAATTGTGAATAAAAATTTACTCCATTTTGTTATTTCTACATCAAAAAAGAACTGAGAAATTTTGAAAACGAAATTAGCATTATGTTGGACAGGATTTTCGGAAAACACCAAACTTGAGGTAAAAAATTCCCTTATTTATTAAAATGAGAAAAATGAAAAGATGTAAAAGCTTTAAAAAGAATTCCGAACTATATGAATTATTACAGTCAATAGAAGAAAGATGCAAAATCGAAAGGGAACATTTTCTTAATCACATGAAAAAACAGCAGCAAAGTAAAAAAAAACCTTCCAACCGAGCAAAATCTCAACAGTTTATTTCAACTAAACAAAACACAAATTTTAGTAGCAGCCGATAAGAATGTAGGCTATGTATGTATTGATAAAGAAGATCTTTTAATGCAATATGATGAAATTAACAAAAAACAGCATTTTGGAGAAGCAAAAATTAAAGAAGATTGGTATTTAACAAACATGCAAGAGTTTTTATCAAAGGCGTCTAAAAATATCCCTTTCGAACTTACTCAAAGATAATGACTTCATATGGAAGGAAAAAAAGCAAGAAATCGGTACGTTAAGATTAAGGCCAAAGATATTAAAAATAAAGACGGTATCAAAATCAAATATATCCAGCTTAACTTGTCGAGGAATTAAAAGCTCTATGCTCGATCCAATTAAACTAATACGAAATATCCTAGACAAGGTTTATAGACATTTATTATTTTATATAGAAAATGAGTTTGTAAGGCTATATGAAAAACTCTCTCCTTCAGTAACGGGCATAGATGAAGCGATAACTCGAGTAAAAAAGTCAAAATCAGGTGAATGGGCTAGTTCAATTGAAATGGAGGGAGATTTTGGGGACCTCTACTCAAATTGTAACAAAGATCTATTAGAAAAGTGCATAATAAAAGCTGGAAAAATTGCTAAACTTAAACCAGAATCAATTGATTATGTCCTAAAACTTATGAAAGTTTCAATGAATCATTCTTATTTCAAAGACCCAAAAGGTATTTTTAAAACTCTCAATGGGTTTTCAATGGGAGATAATTCTGCAGCACGGGGGAGCGACATAATTTTAAGGATTTATGAAAAAGATATTTTTGGAAAAATACATAACAAAAACCTGGAAAACACTCACAAGATACCTAAGATTCAGGGATGACGTTTCAGTCGAGCGGGGGAAGGCAGGCGGCCATGAGCCACCACTATTTCCCCTTCCGTGCCACATATTAGCTTTTTTCTCTTCCGGCAGCCATGAGCCACCACTATTTCCCCTTCCGTACCACCACATTTGACTCTTCCGGGCAAAACTACTTTTTTAAATGTTATATTTAGGGCCTTTAAAGTGTGATTTTAAAAAATCCAGCCGCGTCACGAAATACATATAAATTTAGATCTCAATATTTCAGTGTTAATATGTAATATGGATGATTTCTCTTAATGTAAATTGTAAAACTTTTCTTTTTGCAAATCTAAATTCTGATTTTCACAAAAAATGGCTTATTTTTAAAAGCAATATGAATATTAAAAAAGACAAACCTTGAAATAAACGTCAGTTTTGAAGGGAACCCTTGTGTCAAAATGTGCAATGTGTAATGAAAAAATTGCAATAAACCCCGTTTTTTTTTACAAAATCTGTAACGCCTAAGTAATGACAGTAAATATTGTGATTTTTAAAATTTCATTGTAAAACAGTTTAAGAATTCAACAAACAAAATATTAATCTTAAGTAGAATTGAAAAAATGGTTTGAGTTGTGCTTTTTTGCGTGACACGGATGGATTTTTTCAAATCACACTTTAAAGGCCCTAAATATACCATTTAAAAAAGTAGTTTTGCCCGGAAGAGTCAAATGTGGTGGTACGGAAGGGGAAATAGTGGTGGCTCATGGCTGCCGGAAGAGAAAAAAGCTAATATGTAGCACGGAAGGAGAAATAGTGGTGGCTCATGGCCGCATACCTTCCCCCGCTCTTCAGTCCATGTAGTGGGAGAAATAGATAAAAGGTTAGAAGTAATTAGAATGATCACAAATGGATATCCAAAATGTATCCAGTTTAATGTTGAAACAAAAGTCATAGATGGGAAATTCTTAAACATAAAAATATTCAACGTGCCTGGTGAAAACACACCAACGACAACAGTGCTAAGGAAACCAAACTCTAAATTCGATATAATACCATTTAACTCCAATGTGAGCTTAAAATATAAAAAAAAATGGCAGGGCTGGGATACTTTAGAACTATTAGAACACACACATGTTCGGTATTAGAAGAAATACAACAGAAAAAAATAGTTAAAATGATCTTAAAGGAAAAAGGGTTTCCTAGAAACCTAAGAAAAAAGTTAGAAAACCATCAATATGAGAACACAAAGAGTGAAAACGCCAAGAAATTTTTAGGAATAACAGTGTTTGACAATGTAAGCAAACGACACAAGTTTGTAAGGAATGTTTTTAAACACTCATTAATAGACAAGGAAAAATATTATCTACCTGCAGACGTCCCTGGAAGAAAATTTGAACAATATATTTTCACTATAAATAAAATGAAAGAAAAACTTCAATTTTAAACCATGTACTTTTCATAGAAAAATGGAAAATGTGAGAATTAAAACTTAAGAATACATATTAACATTTTTATGATTTAACTAATGCAGGGGAAACAGAACACAATTAATCTTAATTTTATTTGGTTTTTATCAATTTTTAAACAATCATAAAGAGATCTTGAAAGGGAATAAAGGCACATGACAAAAAATGGCTTCTCGGCATGGGTCCGGTGTTCAAGGAGCACCGGACCCATGCAGTTGCCAGCCCCTTGATTAGGGCTGGTATACTTTGCATTGTGCCGGTGCTCCTGAGAGCCAGGACACATTTTAGAGTCATTTGCTGGCATGAAAGCCAAGTTAAAATTAGGTCGATTTTCATTAAATCTCTTAAAAGATCTCTTTATTTATCTTTTATAAACTAGAAATATTTCAGGAAGTGAAAAGTAGACACCTTGGTCACTTGTTGGATGAAATGTTCTTGAAGGATTTTCAGCATTTTTACTTTTTCTTTTTTACTTTTGATACAACTTTTTATCTTAAACAAAAATGTGTTCTGCATTATTTTGTTTGATTACATTGGGTTTCTAAAATTAAATGCTGATGAGTTCAGTGGGATGACGTGAGATGTTTTGGTTTACCGTAAAATCCAGAGATGATTTCAAGGATGCTCGAGGGGAGGAAAACTTAAGCTGCTAACTTTTCCAGAAGAAATTCTGAGTTGTAGCATTTTTCGAAATGTCTTCTTTATACAAATATACAAGAAAAGATTCATATTACAGTTGCTCAAAATCTTTTGACAGAATGTATAAATTCCGAAAACTGTCAGTTAAAGCTGTTAAAAACTGTCAGAATTAATGGGGGGGGGGGGGGGGGAGATTCTTGAGTTCTTAAATTGATTATTTTAAATAAAATTTTAATCTGGCTAATAATGAACACTTTAATTCAGGAATGAAAAAATCGGATGATTTTGATTTAAATTTAATACTATTATTACTATTTCAGAGAAAATTCAAGAATAAAATGAACGAAGAATTTAATCTGGAAGATTTTGAGTTGAATGAAGAAATAGTTTACGTCAAAGAAGAAGTTCCTAAAGAGAACTTTTCTAATGGACAATCAGAAATTGATTCTAAAAAAGAAAGAAGCATCTCGAGTAAGTTTTAATGTTATAAAAATTTATTAAGAGCAACATCGCTTAGTATTCTAATAAAGAAAAGTTGTTTTTTATTTTGATTTTCTTGTCCACTGTCCAGGCCAGTTACATAGAAACTAGACTTTCCATTAAAACTTTTTACTGTGTCTCTATCCATGAGCGTCTTCTCTTTTACAATATGAAACAATAACGGATTTAGTAATATCTTTCACGCATTTTCAAAATTTTACAAAATCAAATCGGACACACTTTTCTTTGTAAATTTGAGCATTCAAAAACCTCCCCTGTGGACATGTGAGGTCTAACACAAAATTTGGACCCGATCGGTTCGGTCGTCGCGTTTTGACGTTTATTGGACACAAACGGACAAACAAACAGACAGACAGACAAGCAAAATATATATATATATAGAAACTCGGATGGATATTATCAAAATATTTATATTTAGGTGAAATAAAAAAGGGTCCGATGATTGAAACCTCGCCAAGTTCAACAAGACCTAAGAAAATTGAACTGAGAGATTATTCATGTAATCAGTGTGATTTTGTTACAACATCGTCAAAAAATTTGAAAAGACATAGGTGTAGGTTTAGCCAGAAAAGGTTCCCTTGTGATACTTGTGTGTATGTTGCAACCAATGCAGACACTCTACGTAAACATATTAAAAGTAAACACGAAGGAGTGATATATTCTTGCAATACATGTGATAAAACATTTTCCACACCTAGCAGTGTCCAAAGGCACATGAATAGCATTCACAAGAAAGTAAGATTTAATTGTGATCAATGCGGAAATTCTTACACCGAATCTAAAACGTTAAAGAAACACATTGAAAGTAAGCATGAAGGTCTGAAATACTATTGTGACCAATGTGTATTTGTTGCAACTTCAAGAAGTCAACTGAAGTATCACATTGATAGTATACATGAAGGTTTGCGTTACTGCTGTGACCAGTGTCAATTTGTTTCTACTTCAAGAAATGGCCTAAAGCGTCATAATGATAGTGCACATAACGGTTTAAAGTATCCCTGTACTTTATGTGATTACACGTCAAATTCTGCCGGTGGATTAAAGGTTCATGTTGAAGTTAAGCATGTAGGATTGAGATATAATTGTGATGAATGCGATTATACTGCCATTGCTTCACGTTATTTGAAAACACATATTGAAAGTAAACATAATGGCGTCTGTTACCCCTGTGAAAGTTGTGATTATACTGCATCAGCGAAAAGCATATTAAAGGCTCATATAAAGACCAAGCATTTATTGGTAAGATATTCTTGTGGTGTGTGTGACTTTGCTGCAACGACAGGAAATAATCTAAAGGTTCATATCAAGACTATCCACGAAGGATTTAGATATCTGTGTGATAAATGTGATCATACTGCTACCTCAACAAGTGATTTAAAGAGACACACTAAAAGTAAACACAAGGTTCTATCTTAAAATGAGCCAGATGTCACGTTTCCTTTTAAAAGAAAATAAACAGATCAAGATAATTTGTGTTGCTACAATTTTCTTAAATTAAATCCTATGTGTTCAGTTCATTTCTTGCTCATAAATATATTTCTTACATTCTTACAGATAATGATAAGGTTTTCCAATATTTTTTAGAGAAAATGTCAAGGAGTATTAAAGATCCTTGATTCTGGGATGTAAACAGGAGTTTACATGGGTCGTGTACAGTACATTGTACACGAACTGTTATTACAGTATACTGTAATGTAAAGTTAGTCGTTTTAGACAAGTTTTTCAATGAAATTACTTAAATCTTATACATAAGGAATAATTTTACAGTAATTTCTACAAGCCACTGTAGCTCAGTGGCAGGGTCTGTGCACCCATTGGCATGACTTGTTTGATTAGAAAGGCTGATATTTCTTGACCTTGTTCTACGACCGGTGGCATATGCCTCGCAAATTATTTCGTAACAATCAGGGGGTCTGTGGTAAACCAGACCTCTAATGATTGCGATGTAGTATACACGGGTCCCGCGACCCCTGGAGAACTGAACTTGGAAGGATGGAATGACTCGGCGATTTCTTCTAACAGCTTGAAATGTCAATGGCCCTTGGGAGCCCTTTCAATGCCATTTGTAAAATATTTCTTCTCCTTTTTCATAGTTTCCACCTATTTTCTAGTGGGGAGGATCGAACTTGAGTTCATTCACTAAGAATGCAGTTTGTTGGCAATGAGCTAATTATTCTTTACATATATCGTGTGAAATTAGTCTAAGGAATTAAGGAGAAGACATGATGGATGGATTGGAATACAACTGATAATTGAAGCTGGCCGATGTTTAGAACTTTATTCTTCTTCTCTTCTCTTTACTTTTAGTCTTCTCATTTACTCTTATAGTCTTCTAGTTTTCTTTTCTACTATTCTTATAGTCTTCTACTCTTCTACTCTTCTAATCTTCTAATCTTCTAGTCTTCTAGTCTTCTATTCTTTTAGTCTTTTAGTCTACTAGTCTACTAGTCTACTATAGTTGTCTAGTCTTGTAGTCTGATAGTCTGATAGTCTACTAGTCTACTAGTCTTATTTATATATATATATATATATATATATCTAATCTTCTATCCTTCTACTAGATATTAAGATTGTTTCTATTTCAGTAGGAGAGAGGATATGTTTTACATTATTTCAAACTATTAATCCTGTTAGATCAAATAGTCTTAGTTTGAAATATCAAAGGTTTACACCATCAGGTTGCGAAGCTATAGGGGTTAGAAAATTTGAGTTTGTAAGTAAGTAAAGTAAAAACTTTTTTATTTATGAAATATAACAAAAACATACAAAATAAAGTGTTCCAGGAGAAAATATTTAAAAACCTCTAAAAGTAGAGGTTGTGGGAATATTTCCCCCCAATTCTAAGAAAATATAAAAATAGAAATAAAAAGAAAAGGAAAGGAAAGGATAAGGAAAGTTACATATTTATTGTTTACACTATATTTAACATAAATTAGTGGTGGATTGTTTTTATTTTTCGACGATGAACTAACAACTTTTAGAAATAAAAATTATAGATTTATTTGTAATGGTAAAAAAAAGTAAAAAAAAAGCTTTATGGAGTGTGAAAGAGATATAGGTTCTATGACAAACGGGCATTTTTAAGCATCTTTTTAATTCGCGCTGATTTTTGACATCCTTTCTGTTTGATTATATCTTTTACTCTTTTTAATCTTTTTATTCTTTTCTTTGTAAAGTCGTCTTTGGTTTCTTCGATTCTTTTGAAGAAACTTATTTTGTTTCCACAAGACAAACAGTTCAGCAATGTTATGAAGATTCTATGGAAACATTGAAGATACTCTAATAACACCAAGTCAAAAAAAAAGAAGTCAATAAAATCTTTGTGATAGATATTTAGATTTGTTGTTGTTTTTCTTATTTAAATAATACATTTACAACTTTTGGTCATTTGTATTTAGTACAAGGGACGTTATCATAATTTTAATTGACATTATTTTGACGTCATTTAAATGTTAAGTGACATTATTTGAACGTCACTGAGATGTTAAGTGACATTATTTGAAGGTCATTGAGATGTTAGGTATCATAAATATGGATCTCATTTTGGGTATTGTTACGTCAAATAATGTCATTATGATGACTCAAAACATACAACATGACATCAAACAAACATCAAATTGACATAATTTTAGGATATTTGACATAAATCTAATGCCTTAAAATGACGTCCTATTGACGTTAAAGTGGGTACGTTTTTACATCAATTTGATGTCTTTTTGTGATGTCAAAATGACGTTACTACACTCTAAAAAGATGTCAATTTGATGTTAATTTAATGTCCGTTGTCTTGCTGGGATATTTTTTAACTAATGTTTTTCTTCAAACGAAATACGATCGTTTTTGAAAACGACCGTTTTTAATAAACTATATTTTTTTAAAATGATAGTTTCATTTTTTCTTAGTTTTTAAAATCTAACGAGTTGTTTTTCAAAAAAGTGGAAACTATCCATCTCTATTATTACACAGGAAGAAAAGTAGGCTGAATAACACAAAAAAGACATTTTTAGGGATTACAAAATATTGGCAACACTACAGATGATTTTTGGTAATTTAAAAAAATCCGTTATATATTTTGGTATTCTAAAACCCACATTTAAAAAATAAATTGACGACCTTTAAAAAGTCTTTTCAAATAGAGTACCATCTGTTTAGCATGAATAACCATATGGTAAAGCGGACCGGCCTCCTCCATATATGTATTCTATACTCCTTGGTTCCACCCCTGGCCGAAATGTACAGAGTAACCTGAATTCCAAGAATTCCAAGAGTCCTTATCTCCATTCTATATTTATTGAACTATATTTATTTAATTAATATTAATTTTTGACTTTCTTTGAAAACATTCACACTGTAACATTGGTAACCAGAACACAGTTTAATGACAGTCATTGTCATTCGTCTTTCTTTCTAATATTTTTGAGTATTCTGACTGAGGATTTTGCAATCTTTAAATGAAACATTAAAAAATAAGAATCGGTTAATAAAATTTTTAAAGAATAAACACTAAAATTTTACTGTTTTTCCGCTTTGGTTAGTAGGCATGATCATTATTTACCGCTGTAATCACCTTTATGCACATATGATTATAGTTTCAAAATAAATTGGTATCCAAATAACTAAAAATCTGTCTTGAAAAAGTGAATTTAGAAGTTTTAAAATCGTAAATATCCGTTGATAATGTATGACAAAAAAATCCGTTCTTTTTTAAGAACTGAAACAATTCAGAAAATATAGAAATAAAAACAACGGGTCAGTATTTACCATGGCTCCATGTGTATCTAGCTTTCAATACCAATTTTGGCATAGGTAAGGAATTAAATTTTTTAAAATGACTTTTGGATTTTTGAAATGTTAAATATGAATTGTGGTCACAGTTTTTGGACCTATCTTGTGCATCTCTGTTCAAGCACTCATCTCCATCTTATGCAGATTGACAATACCTCATGTTCATACCCTCGTAATTTTAATTGGGAAATCAAATAACTATCCTCAAACAGTCGCGTACACAGGATTTTAGCCAGGGGGGGGGCAAGATTTCGCGCGTAGCCCCCCCTGGGTGTTTTTTCCCCCCCCTGGAATTGTTTTGTTCAAAAAGTCAATTAACACCATAAAAATACACCAAAAAGACTACATTTTTGGGTGTTACTAACCTTAGAATCTAAAAATTATTCCTTTGCTTGAAAACTAACTTTTTAACTTTGCAAATTTATCACTTTACTCCATCACAGCTAACTAAATCAATAATCACAGCATCATTAAAAAATCATATTTTCACTTATAAACGAAATTTCTTCTGAAATTTTTAGATAGAATTTTACTCCATCTACATATTCACCAACTCTTTTAAGCTTCAATTTTCTGGGATTTGCTTGCACAAACATTTCAATGATTTTCTCAGTAGTGAGCCATAAGTGCAAGATTGTTAAGTCTGCTCTCCGTCTTGGTACATCTTGTGTAATGAAGTATTCTCTTAAGAAGGCTAAAACTTCTCTTTCCTTCATTCGATGTTATTGTCATCATTGCATAAAGGGGAACTTTAAATTACGCTTAATATCTCTTTATGGAAATAAAGGAATTGAGTCCTTGCCACAAACTCTGATTTTCTAATCACTATATCTTTGGAACCAAATGAATTCTGTTATATAAAATATTCTGAATTTGAAATATCAAAGGTTTACAACATCAGGTTCCAAAGGTTTGAATATTTGAGTTTGTGTCAAAGACTCAATTCCTTTATTAATTGACTGTAAGAAAAAATAGAAAAATAGAAAATATAATAAGAATACCTTTATTACATCTTACATCATGTTATAAGCATAAAATATGTCGAGGTCTGGTTTTTGCAAAAGTTTTAGTTTTAAAGTATCTTAAAATTTTGTGTTAAAAGTGAATTTAGACAAATCCTTAGTCTTTGTCATTGTCAGGTGTTACTTTTTAAATTTGTTTCCTTTTAATTTTGTATTTTCCAAGGGGGGGGGCAAGAGGACTACTGCCACCCCCCCCTATGTACGCCACTGTCCTTAAATTAATGAGGGCCAAAAGGTTCATTGGACTATTTAAAGTCAAAACTTCAGTCTAAAAGTCTTACTCATATTCCAGAGTTGTATGGTCCTCACTGTACCAGCAGTGATGGTTATAATATAGAAAATGAATTTGTATAGTATTTTCAAATTTAAAATTCTTATGTTTTAAAGAATGTGGGTAAATTGAGGTACCGTCTCAGAGTAATGCAGAAATTACAGAAAAGCTAAGTTAAAGCTGTATTCCTTAAACCCTAAGAGTCAATCTATTTACTGAAGTCTAATATTTTTAAAAAGAGGTGGTTACAGCAGTTACACTATTGATTTAAGATACTTTTCAAAAGACAGGTCACAGTCCTTGAGTAGGTGATTCCAGCAGATGATAAGTAAAAATCATAGCAAGCAAATTGTGCATTTTTACAAAAAATGTAAACCACAAAATTGACAAATTGAATTGAATTTAAATGAATTGAATTGAAGAAGTAAAAGGTATGTGTAATTATATTGTACTAAATAAGTTAAAGCAAAATGGTTTGAGTGTGAAAATTACCTTGCCAAAAATACTTATTTCAGTCATCTTGAATTTGGAAGTAGGACATACCTAGAAATCTGATTTGATTGAATTTGTTATTGTAATGATGAGTCGTCAGTCCATTTGACAGCCCATTAAAATTTTTTTTTAAATAATCTTTTTTGTTTGTTTATTTTCTTGTGGTTTTTAACATCGATTTTGATGGTTATTATAACGTTAAAACTGACAAGGGTCAACCCAGACCGAAATATGTTTTCAACAAAATGTGAAACTAACATCTACTTTTTTTATGTCTACAGAGGTTTGGTCCATTGCCATAAACAAATATTCAAGGGCGTATACAGGGGGGGGGGCAGTGCCCCCCCCTAGACTTGTAAAGGGGGGGGGCGTAGCCCCCCCCTAGAATTCTGCAAGCCTTTCACACTTTTCAAATCTTAACTGAAGAGTGAAGAACACAAAAAAAATAAGTTTGCTTTTCATGATTATTATAAAAAATCAAAATTTTAAAATATATATAATTACAGTGCAGTGCTCATGCTGTAACCAAGTTAACCTAGCTAACCAACCTAACCTAATTTTAACTTTTAAGTTCACAGAGTACACAGAGTTTAGTTGGGTTCAGAGAACACACAGTCTGCATACATTTGTACAGCTCACACACTTTACATTATATGCTAGTCTTGTTTAGTAGTGATGTGAGTCTGTTAAAAGTTGCCGTTGTGACTGGTATCTGTGAATTGCTGATTAATAATTATCATGAATCAAATACTGTTATTTATAAGCCTTGAGTTATCATTCATTCTTAGATTGCAGCAATTGTACTCCTACTTTTTTTCACAACAGAAACTTTCACAAGTCATAATTATTTTCTGGACCTTTGTACTTCTTTTCATCTCATAGAATTTAAGTTTAAGTTAAGTTTTTATTTTCAAAAATGTCTTTTACTATCTCTAGTTTAAATACTAAATATACCTATAAAAGTATAATAAAATGTCGATTTTTTAGAAACAATGCTTAGAAGGTAATTATTTGGACTGTATGTGTGCCTTTTAAGTATCTTATACTTATGCCTGATATCCAAGAAGCCAAGTGTTATGAATTTACAGTTCGAATTTTGCCCCCCCCTAGGAGCTCCTAGGGGGGGGCAAAAAATTTTTTTGCGCTTCGCGCAAATCTTGCCCCCCCCCTACATTTATTTCTGTATACGCCCTTGCAAATATTAATTCAATTTGAAAGTATTTAAATTTAAATCAGATTGGACATGGTTGTATCGCACATATCCTTACACATATTTTCCCGCTACATTCATTTCTGAGAATTAATATGTACTTTTAAATATGCCACATAATTTCACGTAATGCTCCTCCATAAGTGAAAGAAAGTGTTAAGCGTAATTATACGCTTAATTAGGTGTAGCGAAACTACAGCTGGAACCCCTAGTCGTCATTATCAGTATTTAACAGTCGTTAACGGTTGTCCAAAATTTTAAACAACCTACTTTTGTTAAGAAAATGACCAATTAAAAAAATGCTCTTTTTCAAGAACGCTCCTAATTGTAAACAACTGTTTCATTTTTTATTTTCTTTACATTGTTGACAAAACAATTAGTTTGTATTTTAGGGAAATAAAAACAGTCCATCCTTTCAATAGCATATAAATATTACAAATATTCTTTTAAATTACTATTTTTTTCAATGTAAAAAATGTCAAGGTAATAAAGGTCAAAAGAAATAGATGGACCAAAAGCGCTCTAGCCTGTTAAGGGTTAAGGTAAATCAGTTTTGATCATGCTTTGATTGCTTAAAATTGTTGGTGAATTTCTCTGCGAGAAAAAGTACATAAGCAAGTAATTATATTTACTCGACCCTCTGCTCTGAAAATAAAATTGTTAAAGTTTAAACAAAAATTCAATATTCAATTTTGCATTTCTTTAACACGGACGTCAAAAAACTGAAAGTAGAAAGGAAATTGTAGAAAGAACACAGAAAAAATGGTTAGCTAGTAAAATATCTGCATTTATAATTGAAATTAGTGAAATATCAGTACTGTTTTATTGGGGAACTTAGTAAAACCACGGAAATGTTCTTGTATTTTAGTTCAAAAGTCCTAAGTTGAGTAAGTTGACTTTAATGAGGCAATTTAAGTTTTAATCTAATCTTTTTAATAAAATACATAGTTTGAATCCTTCATAATATTTGATTTTAAGATTACCCTAATATGCATGAATGTCTAAGATATGCAAATTATTAAACACATAGCCAAATAGTAGTTAATATAATTTGTAAACTTTCTGAAGTGCAAATTTATAAAATTTCCAAATGAATTGCAAAATGTGAGCAAAAGTTAGCCTTTGGTGAAGACTCTAGTTCTAAGTAACATTTATATGATTTTAATATTGTTTTTGTGAAATAATATATTGAATTGAAATAAATATATAACTTTTAAATATATATCTTCTTTGAAGCTGACGGTAGATTTGCCTTTGGTTGTTACTACTACAACTATGGCACCAAATATAAAGAGAAAGATGGGTATAATAAAAGGGGTACATATTTACATCAGACAGAGATAAGTCAGGAGTATAACTTCATCCCATCAACATTTTTAATCCAATGTAATATCTTTTTGGCTTTTAAATACTTTTCAAACAAAATTATTATTAAGAGATAATGAATAAAATTTATTAATACTTAGAAGTAAAATGTCCATTCTTCTCTATTTCTAGTATTTCCTCAGAAGAAGAACAACACTTTTAGTGAAAAGCTGAAATATATCTAAAGCACAATATCCAAAGAGTATTCCAATCCAGCCTCCAAACTCTGCAGCAAACTCCCAGATTGTGTAGATGTATTGACTCTTAACAAATTCTACATTTCGTGGTTTCTTGATTATCAGATACCTATCATGATCACGAAACCTTTCCTAAAATAACATGAATATTACAATGGGCTTTTTTGTTTAACTAATTTCTGATTTACTTAAACTGAAATAAAATATTTTATTACCATAATTGCATGAAGATTTTTTCTTACCATTTTTTGATAATAGAACTGATCTACGTTGAATATGCCTGTTTTACAAGGAACAAGACATTTACTCAGACCAAGCTTAAACTTGGCCACAATCTCAGTTATAGAATCTTCATATATGTCTACAGCCCTGTACCAATCTTCTATGGGAAAATTGTAGTGTTTTTTATCTAATGTAAATAATATGAAAGGAATAATACAAAGAGTAAACACTAACATTTTTTATGCTTTTGATTTTCCCCTGAAAAAATATAAATTTATCTATCTATCAATATATCATAGTTTCAAATTTAAATCAAATTTATTCTTTTCAATGAGCTTGACTGTCATTGGTAATCTCAGAAGAAAACAAATTTAACAGTAAATACTGTTTCTTTAAACGTCAAATCACCACTTTTTCCTGATGGTTCCATCGTTGGTTCCCAAAATGGTAGAAATTCATCGCTGTTTTCTTGTCCTCCATTTGTTCCCACATTTCTATTTTCTTCTCCTCCATTTGATACAGATGGAGCAGGGAACTTTTCTGGAAGTTCACATTCTTTGTACTTTTCTCCAGAATTCCTGATATTAAGACTTTTAAACACAAGTAAAAAATCTACACATTCTACAAACTTATGGATTGCAGGCAAAATAAATCTGTCATCTCCTGTTAAAAGGGAATTTTTTTTTTTGAATAAGCATGAAAACCCATAAGACCATTTTTAATTATATTTCCTATTGATCTATATGAACTATTTTAAAACTTATTGAATTACTTCATGTTAATGAAGAGGCATCCATGGGTTTTGTTGAATTCATAAGCTATATAATCATCTCTACATGAACCAAAATCTATAGAGTTAGAGCAAACATTTTCTTCTTCAATGCTCTGAAATGCTTGAGCTTTCAATAGAAGAATTTTGTTCTCAGTTAACATAGTTCTCTTCAGTTGCAAAGATGTACCACCAGTGATAAAGTTAATATCATGTACAAATATTGCATCGCCCAAATATGGATCAAGATTATGAATAATCTTTAATTCCTCTCCTTTAAAGCTGGTTGATTTACACGTGTAATATGATTGTATATCTTCCTGCCAAGTAAAAACATCTGAAATGTCAGTATCTTGATACCGTAGCCATTGGTTTGTCTGTTTATCTTTATAAGATATTGAGCCAGATCTGTTAAGTTCTGTTGTAACAGACGTAGGCCATGTTTTCAAAGAGTTGCAGATGGATATTGAAATATTGAGATTATGTTCTGATTTCTTGTATTCTATTGTACTTCCAGTAAGGTTATTCTGCAGTTTTATTGTTGAGAAAATGAGCTGGTAGAGCATAGCACTAGATATTCCAATAATTAGGTAAACATAGATCTTAAACCCAAGCTTTCTCTTTTTTGGAATAAATTTAGTTTTGACCATAAATCCTAATCCCAGAATGCTAAACACAAAGTTCAATTAGTTTAAAACATTTATATGAAATAAAAACGTTTACCTGTAACCTAGTAATAAACCTGTCCAACCACCAACTTCCCCAATCAGAGAAATAATACTTTGAGAAACATAAACCTAGTTTAGGAATATTTATAATTGGTTAAAAAACAGAATTTGGGAATAAAAATGTCATGGTAGCTTGATATTATGCATATTTTCGAGTGAGCTCTTTGGGTCTTAGTTGGTTTAAAGTTGGTAATTTAAAGTTATAGTTAAATTTAGACATGACCAAAATGTAAAACAGGGAAAAAATGCCTAGCCTATTCATATTATCTTTACCTCTTTTGTAACTGTTGAGGGTGAAAATTCAAGCTTGAATGAAAATGGTTTTGTTTTCCCTCTGCTAAATCTACTTTTTTTAGACAAGTCCTTAACAGGCGCGGATCCAGGGGGGGGGGTCAAGTGGTTGACGACCCCCCCGTTTGAAAAAAGGGGTGTCAGAGTATCTTTTGACCCCCCCCCCCCCTTTTCTGGAAAAGTTTATTGTAACTTTTTTTCGCCAGCAGATACTTTAATATGCTTTAACAAAAAGCTAGCATGAACGATGACAGATTTAATGATCTGGCCCTAATGAACATTCATAGAGACATCTTAGAAACCGTAAAACCCACTAAAGTGTTAAAGCTTTTATAGACAAAAATACCCAAAAAATTTAATTAGAGTTGACAGGCTTTCTTTATTCTGGAAGATTAGATCTTATATCTTCATACAACTTTGCAAACTTTACTTTTAATCCTCATGTTTAGTAGTTTACATATAAATAATTTATTTTTTAAAATTTTAATAGGGATGGGCAATATCCAGATTCATTTGACAGGAACTTTTAATGTTTTTAGACTTTTAAAAGGAATTACGACAATATGAGAAGGTTCCAACATTTTAAAACTTTATTCTATATAAGTTTACCAAACATGCAAATCTGTTACCCTCGAAGAAAATATAAGGCAAAAATTATAGTTTTTGGTTTTTTTAAACGATCATTTTTAGTTAGTTTTTGCCTTATGTTTTCACCTAGGATAACAAATTTGCATGTTTGATAATTAAACGTCTACAGAAGACAATTTCAAACCGCTGAACCCGCAAATCTTTAAAAGTCGAAAAGTATTAAAAGTTTCTGTAAAAAGAATCTAACAATTGCCCATCGCTATATTTAAACCTACAGGGTTAACCACAAAGAATAAAAGTTAAGAACAGATTTAAACTCTACAATCTTGAAGTCGCATCCTTTGGGGTAACTTGTAACTTAATTAGTCACATGAAAAAACACCCTGAACCTTTTGCAGTTAATATCTTAAGCTTAAACAATATGTAAAATTGTAATTAGAAATTATGTAATGCCAATGGAAATGGAAATATAATTTTTATAGAGTAATATNCCCCCCCCCCCCCCCCTCGCTAACTATGTTTCGCTCGGTACAATACCCTATATTATTCAGACTTTGACCCCCCTTTTTATAAAGCTGGATCCGCCCCTGGTCCTTAAGAATGTAATTAGGCTCCAGCTTTAAGTTTGGAACATTGCAAACACTATGTTGAATTTCATATTTAAACTGAGCCGACAATTTGCTATAAACTGAAAAGTTCATGCCATTTTGGTGAAACTTGCTTTCTGCTAGTTTTGAAATATCCATTATGTATGAATCTGGATACTTCTTTGCTACTTCCTTCAAGATACAGTCATCATAGGTGTTATGGTCATTGTATCCATCATCAAATATAAGCTGTTCTGTTAACACCTCCAGTTGACAAAGATACCATGGAGTAAACACTGATCCAAAGTTTTCCCTAATTTCCCTAAAAAGAAATTATCTGATTTAGTATTTTTATATTCTTATTATTCAATTACTATTATTTCAAATAGAACATTAGATTGAAACTATCCAACAAACACTGCAGTTTTTATAAACCCTATTCAGGCTGACATCTCCTTTACCCAAAATAGTCTTGGGGGCTCCCTCTATTTCCTTATTGTGAATTGTGATACAAATCTATAACATTTAATACACTTGTTGGGTAACCCTTGGGCACTTCTTTAAAAAACTGCTAAAAAAAATTTGCAAATTTGCAAAATTTTAAATATTTATTGCAAGTTATTAAGCAAAAATGTGCAAACACAAAAATTGTACATATTATTGAATATTATAAATTACATTATTATTAATTATGTATATTATAACCACTTGACATGTTAAACTCAAATATCTCAATAACTCAAAATCTTTGCTAAATTTTCAAAAACTAAATGTGTATTCAAGAAACACTGAAAATGTGCAAATTTTCTTTAATGGCACCTGTGCAAAAATCTATGCAAAATTTCTTTGCAAAAATTGTGCACTCTGATTCCCTTTTGTTTGAGACTTTTCAAAGAGCTCTAAAATGTATCTATTGACTGGAAGTAGGTCTAAATATAGATGTAGTCTGGTTAAGGTGAAATAAGGCATTCAGTCAGTATACTTTTTGAGTTATATCAAAAACTGTCAGGGGGGTTCTAGGGACCCACCCCCGGCTGAAAAAGGTGTTTTTTAAAATTTATTTTTATAATTAAAAAAATAATAAAATGGCACAAGGCATAGTTTATAAATTCAAATGTTCATCTTTTTCCTCCTTTCTCTTTTTCTTGTTTCCCTTTGCTTGTCCCTTTATGGGGCTGCTTTTGAAAGAATGCTTATTAGTAGCTGTCCTTGCACCATTATAAGACAGTGCACGATCACCCTTTCAATGAATAGATGTCCCACAGAGAAATGTCCTTGAGTCTTATTTCACTGCTTGTGAGAAGGTTAGATGGTAGGTAGAGTAGAGTGGAGATGTGGATAAGGGTTTGTAGGAGTGACATATCAGGAATGTTTTGTTTAAAAACACTCCATTTGCTTACATGTCTTACTGTTTCCCTGTCCAGCAGAATTCCTGAGGTAGTATTGCATTTAAAGGGCACCACTGCATGCAGAATGTGGAGTTGTCCCTTTTTGTTAGCTGTAGAGCAGGGACCGGGCCCTTCCAGAAAAGGCTCCAATCACTAAATAATTGGAGTGGATACAAAACCGGATTAGTATTAACCATATTAGCTGTATTAGCTGTTTGTTAATCCTGTTTCTTGACTTAGTACCCCAGCTGTGGGCACTGTAGTTAGAAAAGAGGTTAGCTTATTGAGCATGGGGTTCAGGGCCCCTTGGCCTTCCCTCCCTCCTATGTGTAGACACCTTTCTCAGCGTCCACTGTTAAAAGTGCAGAGAGCGTTCTGACCAGAGCTCTGCTCTAGTAGGCTGTAGGAATGCAACTAGCTGGAAAGAGTTAAGAGCTGTCATTTTACCTGTACAAGTCAACAGTATCCGTATTAATGAAACTGAAACCCTGTCTTCCTGGTCTAAGAAGTTGACCGGTTAGATGAACAAACACCCTCAGTTCTTTCTTTGCTATGACGTCAACAAACTTAATATTGTTCCAGGGTTTCAGATCCAGTGTATGACAAGTCTCAACAAAGGTTTCAAACTGTGGTGTATTGATGGAATATATCATAATTTCAGAACTTTGGTTTGATTTTGAATCATAAGCAGTTGCAAGTTTTCCATTCTCATATGTTATATTAATCTGTTCAATGCTATCACTAATCTTAGTTAGATTGCTCCAAAACCCTGACAAATTACCAATGTAGGAGTAGGTTGAGTTGAGGATATCTTCAGAATACAAATTTTCAACAAAACACATTGAAACACTGATTTTAGGGAGATCAGTCTTAAGGTTGATATCCGTGGATGTATCTTTATTGATGTACTTCTGACCACTTTTAAAAAGGACAAATAAGACTCCTACGATACATGCTAATTTCAGGATTGCAATAAATCTTATCAAGCATGATTTATGATCTCCCTTAAATAGTTTGCTTGATAAAAATTCAACACTTCCAAGAAGTGAGATTCCAAGTATAAGTCCAACCCAGCCTCCAAATTCAGCAATGAAGGAAACTAAGGTGTAACTTTCTTGCATTTCATAGAAAACTATAGTTAAAGGAATATTGATAACATATCCTGGAGTATATGTCATTTCTGTATGCTTTGGTATGATAAGGACATGAAGCCAGTTGACAGGGTTTAGCCTGATGTCCACTTTAACCTGGGTGCAGTGTTGTAGACAGTTATCTGCACTAGCTTGAAACAGTTTCAATGCTTCTCTTGTTTTTCTTGAAGAATTACACAATTGATGAGGTTGATACCACAAGAGAGGTTTGCATTTTTTCTGCATGTTTACAGTTAAAGAGTTTTCAACACATTTGTCAAAACTGTAAAGTTCATCCATACATTGAGTGATTGGTGTTGAGAATTGTTTTTTGACTTTAATGCTTATCTCAGTATCTACTATGTGGTCAATTGATGTGAGGGTTAACAGTCCATTTCTCAAATCAGTAAGGAACTGTCCTTTCTTGTGAACATACAAGTAAACATCATCTAGACAAAATATCAATTAAATTTTATTCAGGTTTCAGGATTTCTTTCTAAATTAAAATGAAGGAAAAATACTTAACCAATACTCTTGGTAGGATTTATTCTCAGTCTTGAAAACTGTGATAAATCTTGATTCCATGTGTGACAAAGCAATGTATAGTTGTCAACATATGGATACATTTTTAGCCTTAAAAAATAATTAGAATGATAAGTTTGATTTTTCTGAGCTGAGATTTTAAAAGCTTAAATCTGGGTAAAACCCATGCTGAGATATTGAAAGCTTATAATGATAGATTTCCTGCTTCAATTGAAACCATGTTTTCACCATTAATGGATTTAAACCGTATAAGATCTTATATGATAGAAAAGTTGTAAATTAACATGTCAAAAATTTTCCCTCAGCCATGTTTCCTTGGCTTTATTAACATCAAAGAAATAGCATCTCTTAATATATTTGAAGGTACACTGAGGACAACTTTCTTAGAACAGTATAAAGAATGTTATTGCCTTAAACCAAACCATCTTTCATGTAACTAAGTTTTAATTATATTTAATTTTCTTTGCTTTTCTTCACGCTTTTTATGCGATATACAAATAACTCCAATAATATCTGCAAAATGTCTAACTTTTCTCCTTTTTCCCTCCACTGATACCCTCCATCCTTTTATTCTTGTTTTCTCTTAGCCAACTATCTTTCCTTTGTTATAGTTTTTGTAATGAATTTATTATTTTCAAATATGTAGTTGTGTAGGGCCTGTCATTTAAAACAAATTTTTATCATCAGTCAAAATATACCAATCTATCTATATATTATGAGGATTGAAGGAATGACTGTATTGGAATAAAATTCATAATCAGGTGAAAGGATTTTATTTATCATAAATAGTTCAAGCAATCTTTATTAAACTTTACATACATTTTAAATACATAGATTTGCAAGGGTGGTTTGAAAATAATTATTTCCAATTCTTACGTATGGTCTATGTAACTTTCACATGCCTCAGGCACTGATTTCACAAACCCAGGATGGAATTGCATAACAACAAGATTTCATGAAGAAATATATTAAGATGTAAATTATGACATTTGAAACAGAGAAAAGATTGTAAACACTATGTTAAGCTCCTTAACAATATACCCGAATAAAACCCAGTCTTAGCTGGAGTAAATTAAGTTTGTTTGCTTGTAATCTTTGATTTAAACAATACCTTTTTTTGGAAAAATAAATGATACAAATTTTCTAGATTTAATATGAACTGCAAAAAAGGTATTGCTTAATCCAAAACTATAAAAGATGAAATTAAATTTAATTAAATTTTTTTTCTCTAAATATTTAAGTTTTATATACCATTTTATTAGTCATAATAAGGAACTTTTTATGATAATTGGTAGATACTTCTCATCTTTAAGTTTTATATACCATTTTATTAGTCATAATAAGGAACTTTTTATGATAATTGGTAGATACTTCTCATCTTTAAGAAACCTCTCATGCCACTATGTAAAAAATTTAATTAAATTTTTTTCTCTAAATATTTAAGTTTTATATACCATTTTATTAGTCATAATAAGGAACTTTTTATGGTAGATACTTCTCATCTTTAAGAAACCTCTCATGCCACTATCATTTTGATGTATTGAGCATGCTCATTTCTGCATAACATATGCTTAGTCTGTCTAGCAAATCTGAGAGGCTCGAGTCTACATAGCAGAGGCTCATAGCATCCTGGGTTCCCTCTCTCTCCTGACTTGGGGTTTACCTATGCTCAAGTCTTTCAATAAGCCGAGTTTTACTCTGGTTTAAGCTTTTAAAATCTCAGCTCTGAAGAGCCATGGCCTTTGGCAAGGTCCATCTAGAATAGTTATCCTGTAATTTGCACGGACCGGCTAACTGAGCTGGAATAGGTAAAAACCTACCTAAATGAAAGGTCTAGAGATGTATTCTGAAGCTGTGATATCCAATCAGAACTGTTTGTGAAAACTGCCTCAAATCGTGAAATAAGATCAGAGATCCTAAATATACTTCCTGATTGTGCTAGAAACTGTTCTAGCAATGCTGATTTTGAATCCTCATCCAATTCACAAGATTTGCTCTAAAAATTGTTCATTTAATTTAGTCAATGCATTATTTTCTGTAGTGCTAATTACACCAGATATTAAAAAACCATATTTACAATAAATATATTATATACTAATTTAGTAAGAGGATTAAATTCCGCAATGACTTCTGCAATCCTTAAGATATATAAATATTTTGAAAGAAGATTGGTAAAGCATAATGGAAAAACTGAAATGGTTTAAAAGTAAAAGATACACACAATAAGTTTAATCTTGGTATCATGAATAACATACCTCTTGTACTTCTGAGCAGTTTGAATGGTTATCTTGAAAAATAAAAATGTTAGCATTATACATAATTATACATAAGTAATTTTTAGATTAACAGAGCATCTTGAAAAAACACATTGAATTAGGGTAATCAAACACTAAGGATGCATCATTTCATAAAATCTTTTTTATCTCGTTACAATTCATTTTAAGTAAAAGTCAAAAATATTCAAATTTTCATAATTTTACATTTCGTTTCATCAATAAAAACAATTTACTGATTTACCTTTACTAAACTCTTAGCCTATTCTACACAACATTTTAGTAAAAACTCTCAATTTTTAGAGTTATAGGGATGCACACAAAAGATGAAAGCTTATGTATACTAAAGAAAATATGTAGACAATGTTTTTGGAACAAATAAGAATCAAACATAAGAGGCAAAAATTTAAAAATAGTCAGTCTAAAAAAAATAACAAGTGTTTGAAAGGCCCAGAAATCCAAGCCTAATCTGAAAATTTTGTAAAAACTTAAAGGTATGGAAATTTAATACCATCGATTATGGTTTTACAGGTATTTACTAACTATTAAATGGAATGATATTTTGTTTTTTTTGACAGTTGAAGATTTCTAATTCAGGTTGTACTAAATGTTTGCAAACAAATTGATGAGCGTTTGTACTTTTCGATATTTCTTTAATAGTTCACTGTCTTGAATTAAAAAATTGAATAAGAAGATTGTCTTCTGTGATCATAGCCCACACTTCAAGGTTCTATTCAGGATACTCTTTTAGTATAAAGAAATTTAAAATATAGTTAATTCCTGTGGTGGTAGCAAGATATTCCTCAACATCAAATCTTAGGCACAAGGATAACTGAAGATCTGGTACAGCTTCTATAAGGTAAAAAGAGAAGTAAGAGAGGTTCAGAGAACAGAATTCGGAGGTAATTTATACTTAGGATAATAGACTTTACACATATTTCTTCATGCTCCTCATTGAGGGATATTTTGAGACGTTTTTTGTTTATATTTTCTTTCAGGGTCAAAATTTAGTGTGTAAAAAAACAAATGTATTTTAAATTGTGTAGATGTTCTAAATATTATTTTTTATTACACTTAGTCAAATTTTAGCCTTGGCAGCCTGAAATTATATGCAAAAAACGACCCAAAAACTTACGTGTTGTATCGATAGTTTTTCTGTTCATTTTGGACTTCTTATTTTTTTAGATCGAAGATATTACTAAGTTTAATAAAAACATAATACAGTTTTGAAATTCTATTATTTTTTTCTGAAAACAATCAAGAATGATTAACTTTACAAGTTACTAGTTGAAAAACAAAATGGTGGGATTATTATAAATTAGAGGCTCTTTATGAGACCTATAGATAATTTAATTAATGTTAATATTAACATACAAATGTTAATGTTAATTGGAATTAACATATAAATAGACATTTAGGTATATATTGTATGATTTATAAATTTATTTGTTGTTAAGTTTAACATAATAATGTTAACATTTTATATATGTACACTAACCACCTTAAATGATTGTAAAATGTGTAAAGTCAATGTTAATGTTAACATTATTTACTGTACAATGTAAAAATATATACACCTTAAATTTAAAATGTTAAAGTTAATGTTAATGTTAACATTGAATACACCTTAAATATGAAATGTTAATGTTAATGTTAATGTTATTGTTAATGCTAACATTGTATATCTATATAACAATAAAAAATATATATCTAAACAAGTTAAATGTTTTTAAAATGTATAAAGTTAATGTTAATGTTATTGTTAATGTTAACAATATATACTGCACTATTAAAAATATATGCACCTTAAATTTGAAATGCTAATGTTAACATTGTATTTCAATATAACAACTAACAATATATATCTAATATATATCTGAAAGTTTGTAAAAGGTGAAATGTCAATGTTGATGTTAATGATAATGTTAATGTTAATGGTTAATATTAATGTTAATGTTAATGTTAATGTTAATGTTAATGTTAAAGTCAATGGTAATGGTAATGGTTATTACTTTAAACAATTCATTACATTAATGTTAACATTTACATTAACATTGACTTTATACATTAACAATTTATTAATCAGTCAGTGATGATCATGCAAGCTAGAATGTAATATAAACATTAATGTTAACATTTACATTAACATTGACTTTATTCATTAACAATTTATTTATCAGCCAGTGATGATCAAGCTAGGATATAATATAAACATTAATGTTAACATTTAAATTAACATTGACTTTATACATTGACAATTTATTACTCAGTCAATCATGATTAAGCTAGAATATAATATTAACATTAAAGGGAGTGTTCGCGAAAAATGAATATGGGTATAGGCTTCCAGCATAAACTTATCGATGTTGATTGCTATAACTAATCTTATATTCTATCTTTTAACAATAAGGAAAAATTTTTTCTATCTGTTGCGTCAATTAGGAGAAATCTGTTAAAAACGACTCATATTGAAGAACGTATTGTCCACAAAAATTCAGTAAGTTGCCACATACGGCTTGGATCGTAAAAAAATTATTTAATTTCAAACAAATCATTACAACCTATAATCATTGATAATTTATTACAACCTATAATCATAAAAATAATAAATATTATGAAATTATACCAATACGTCGAAAATTATCCATGATTATATCTGAATGATTTGTTTGGAATTGGATTGATTTTTTTACAATCCGAGTTGAATGTTTCAACTTTCCGAATTTGTATGGAGATGAACGCTTCGTTCTTCGGTATGATTCGTTTTTAACAATTTTCTCCTTACAGACGAAACAAATAAAATACAAAGAAGTAAGATTATTAGCAATCACCATCGATAATTTACTTTATCATTCAATTTGTTTGGGTGGTAACGTCTTGAAAATCGACTTTTTAAAAATTATTAGATAACTACGACAAAAAATTCTACAGTGAACTATTTAGATGTTTAGGAACTTATTTCTCAATATAAATTTGTCAATAAATCAATGTAGAATCAATCCTTTCTTTTTCATCATTAAATTGAATTTCTTATTCTTTATGAATTTTTTAGCAGATTTCTTCAAATTCATTAAATGTCGTCTTTCCAATAAAAATTCCAGAAAATCTACAGAAATTGTTTGTGAGCAATGTGACATTACAGAATTTAGTATCTGAATAAGGTCACTTACTTCCCATGATTTATCTACCTGTTGCTAAACAACTAATTAAAATATTAAAATGTTTAAAAACTTTATACTTTATAAAAATACCTTGCAAAGATATCTCCTGAACATGGATTGACTTTGAACTCTGGATATATTTAAAAGCCGTGTTATATCCTTGGCGTAATGTTATTCCAATACATATTCCAATAAATATAACCTAAAGCACACCATCTAAACTTATAAAAAGCTCACCAATTGATCAAAGAACCCTGAGAATCTCAATATTTGTTTTTAGCGTGGCATGTCTGATTCGCATCGATACCCTTATAAACCTTTATCAGACAACAATAATAAAGATATTGCCGTTTTTCTATCTTAAAGGGATGCCTATAAGCATAATTTCAAGTGGCCTTCCAAGCAGTAAAGGCCATATTCACAACCGGAACTTTAACCCTTTAAGAGATCGAGGATGACAGAGGACTCCCTTGAAATCTAGATAAAAGCGAGTAAAAAATGTAAATTCCGCAAAAACTCCTTCAACTTAAATTTGTATTTCGTGCAAGACATATCATATTTAAACCACACGACGAAATTTTAATCATGGCAGGAAACAAATCTAAGCCCGCCATTTAAAAGTAGGGTTTCCATTGGAATTCCGAGTTACGGTTTAAGTACGGAAATGATCCGGAACATTTTTCCATTTCCATTATGGAAACGGTTCCGGAATTCCGAAAGGATTTTTTCCCGTAAACAGGAAATGTCCGGAACGTTGTTCCGGAATTACGGAACGTTACGGAATATTGTTCCGGAAAATTTTGGTTTATGGAAAAATCGTTCCATAATTTTCCGGGAAGAAGTTCCGGAAAACGTTAAAGTCATCTTAAACTGTAATGTAAAAGATAAAACCAGTAAGTAATACTATCTAAATAATAATAGAATGTGCGCCTGGTTTAGCTGTAGTTAAAGTAATACTACTGTGAACTATCAGGAAATATAAATCCTGACTGCCATGTCTCAAAATAATTTCATCTACAGAAAACTGTGGAAAGGAAGACGACACATATAAAGCAATCCTTGAGTCTAATTGATGTTGTTACAAAGCAAAAACATTAAATAGTTACTAATAAAATCACTTTTAAATTAGTCTGTATACAGTATATAGGATATGCATTACGTAATCGCCGTGTCTCATGTTCATTGAACTATTTAAAGTCATAATTTAAGTCTAAATGTCGTCCTCCTATTCCAAAGTTTTCTGGTTCTCACTCTATTTATATACTTTGCTCGTCTGTTTGTTTGTCCGTTTGTATCCAATAAACGTCAAAACAGCTGAGCGACCGAGTCCAAAATTTGTGAGGCAACTCACATGGCCCAAGGAAGGTTCAAAACTGGATTAAAAATTTGTACAAGAAAAAATGTTTAACTTTTTTTAATTCACAAATTAAAGCCTAGTTTTTATAAACTCTCAAATACGGAGGGGGAGGGGGGGGGGCTAAGCCTATCCGATGATTTGTCAAAAAATATTGTGGGGAAAGTGAAAATTGAACTGTAAAATAGTCCTGATGATCTGAAGTAAAATATATAATTATAGAACTAAATGCGTATTTAATATATGTCAACTAAAGTTTTAACTTTTAATGTTTTAACAATAAAATTGCTTTCTATATTTAGCATTGTGTTAAAATTTCTGGTTTACGAAATGGAAACTGGAAATTTCCGGTTTACATTACGTGAAACGTAAGCATTCCAGTTTCCATTTGATCCGGAATTATCCCGGAATTCCGGTTTACGCAACAAATTTCCGGATCATTCCATTTCCAAAATAGAAATTTTTTTCCGGAAAAAATGGAAACCCTATAAAAGCTTCGGCTCGGGCATTTCCTTAAACCCAGCTTTAAAATCCAATCTAAATACCAACTCTGACGACAGCTTATGTCACGTGATTGACAGCTTCGAGATTTAGGCTCTGGCCTTCAAGTTTTTTAAATTGGTGTATGATGAATGATAATTGAAAAATATGAAACATCTGCAAATTTAATCAATTTAGAAAAATGATTACTTGAACGCGGGGCGAAATAGAGCTGTTAGTTCGCGCCATAGTAATCTAAGCTCTCGGGAATTCTTAACATTTTGTATTTTAAGAATTTCAAGCATACATGCTGGACTTCTAGGTTTAGTTCTTGAGAAGGGACGCTATAACAATTATTTTAATTGTGAAAACCTTTAAAGCTACAACATGGAGAACGAATTTTCAAAAAGCAAAATGAAAATAGAGTCTGTAATAAAAAAAATTCATATTACATTACTTTCATAATAGATTAGAGATAAATTGAAGAAAAACATATTTTTGCATTCAACTGTTAAAACGTTTTTTTCACTAAATTTTTTACTAAGTTAAATTTAGATTTCCATCATCCTTGTTCTGTCTGCAAAGGTTTAATGGGTCCTATTGTAAATCTGACATGGTCTTGTTTGCACAGAATATTACTTGAAATTAGTCAACAGTCCCTTTAAATAGTATTATGATTATTAAACATTTTCTTCCTTGCATCTGCTGCAAAAATTTGCAAGTACCCTTTAAAGAAAGACCGCAATTTAAAATCATTAATTTAAGATAACGTAATCCTTGTAGTTTACTTTAAAGGGACTTTAAAGGCTATAAAATGTAGTTGAACTATATAAACAGTGTTGTAGACAAATTCTTTAGGATTCATTAAAGACATCAGGATCTGTAAATCCTGAGTTTGAGCGCAGAGTCAACGTTCAAAATCGTACTTTTGGGTAGATGTAAACAAAATTCTACAGTAAACTAATTAGTTGTTTAGGAAGAGGTTGAGAAAATAAAAATTAACTCTTATCATTATTAGTTTCTATAATCTCTCTTTAATCCAAAGATTTTCTGCAGATTTTCTGGAATTTTTATTAAAAGGACGACATTTGAAGAATTCGAAGAAATCTGCGAACAAATTCTTAGAAAATAAGAATTCAATATAATGATGAAAAAGGAAATAATTAATTCTAACTTCGATTTATTGACAAATTTCTTTTGAGAAATTTGTTCCTAACCATCTAATTAGTTTACTAGAGAATTTTTACCTTATTTTTCTTTGTCGTTTCTGAAAACGAATTCACCCAAATTCATGATTTTGAATGTTGACTTTGCGCTCAAATTATACATCGTGGAAACGTTTTATATGTCTCAAATGAATCCTAAAGAATTTGTCCACAACACTGCATACTCAGTTTAACTACCTTACATAGCTGGTCTGTCCCTTTAAGCATCGGACATGCCACTTTATAAATTGATTTTAATTCTGACAACAGTCACATTTAAGCTTATTTGTCAAAAGGTTAAAAATTAAAAAACCAAGAAATTGAGAAATTGTAAATTGTTCAATTATGAAATGAACAGTAATATCTAGAGAATATACAAAATATTCTTTCAGGACTTTAAGAAATTTTAATTTTACTTCAGAAATTATGAAATGTTTATTTTTTAATAATCTACAGTAAGAACCAGAAAACTCTGGAATAGGAAGACGACTTTTAGACTCAAGTCTTGACTTTAAATCATGGGGATACATCAAATAATAAATTAAAAATCAAAGTGTAAAAAGGACTTTTTCACTTAATTTATGATTTAAAAAGTGTCTAGTAAAACTATTTGCTTTGAAACAACATCAAATACACTTCAGTATTGCTATAAAGTCGTCTTCCTATCTGGTTAATCACTTTAGTTTCTTTCTCAAATATTTAACTAAGTTCATGCTGGTACAAATATTTTATCAATAATTTGGGCTAAAAATTGGTCAAAAATAGATGGGTTCCTCGAATAATTGCATTCGTTTCAAAAACAAATTCAATTTTTTAAAGTTGTCCATACTAGAGACGAGTGGCTAATGCCCAACTGTCAGGTTTTATTTGTATCTAATCAAGGGGTACTGTGGGGTGTTTTAAAACCACTGATCTTTTTGATGATTATACACTTTTCACTTTTATTAAAATTGCCCTATTCAAATCAAAAATGGAGTTGAAAAATTGCATTCTTCAAATCGAAATCGAATTTACAAAAAAGGTCATTTTTTTCTATTTCCCTTTTTAAAACACCAACTAATACATGTTTTATCGAACAAATTTTCAATAGTTAACAACCTGATAATCTATATTTTTGTCATTTATGTCAATTAGTATTATAATAAAAACTTACTTGTAAACTGTTTGTTAGTGTGACGATAATTTTGTACATCCAATAACCCAAGGAAAGTTATTTCAGAGTTTTACGCATTTTTTGTACTGCAGTGTACTGTCTTTTGGCGGAAAAGTAAACACAAGAAGGATATCAAAGCCTGACATGGAATCAATTTTCACAAAAATAATCTATGAAATATTCTGGTCATAGGAAACTATTATGTGAATTTTCAAAATTATCAAATTTAAATGCTTTTAACCTCCTTGGATACTAGAGTAACACTGATGCATCTATTCTTGTTTACACATTCCGCACAGAGAGAACTGGTTTCAATATGTACGCAGAGTATACGCGAACGCAATTAACTTTCCTTGCATTAGTACCTTACAATAAGTGTTCGTTTCTTTGTCGTTATTTTAAGATTATTAGAGCTCTTTCCTGCTAATTATCTTTTTAAACTAGCGTGCACAGTTGTTAAAGATTTAATAGTTAAATATTGTGATATAGTTAATATGTAAAATTATAGATTATAGAAATTGTCTGTGTATTGTAAAAAATGTTCAAGTTGGATAAAATGTTAAATCTATTCAAGCCATAAATAATAATCCAGCCAAATGGATATACATTGTACATATGGATACAAAAGCCGAATAGTGTCGTGTTTACTCGTACCAGCCCGTCTAGCAGTCTGGCTACCCGAAACTTTGTAAGAAAGTCACAGGAAAAAATGTTTTTATGAAAAATTCGTGAAATAAAAACTTTGGGAAAGTCCTCAGACAAAATGTCAATGGAAAAAAGTCCTGAATTTTAGATTCCTGGGACTTATTTTCTTAATATAATATGGAGGCTGTCTCAGGAAATAAGATCACAGGGATTAAAGTCCTGAAGAAAAAAGTCCTTAGTCATAAGAAAATGAGGTCAAGTCTTAAAAAACCTTTTCTTCTATGCATCTGAATATAGCCAGGGGTGTTTATAATATCAAGTCCCTTTTTTCCATAGTTGTAAACATCTTTTGTTCCCACGC